CTTGCCTTGTATCCGTGCTGTTCCCGAAGTCACGTGACCTGTACCATAGTTCTTCCTTTTCCGATGGTTCCTGGTTATACTTGTGTCACTGCTTACATATGTCCCGCATTAGCCGCCGAGATTCCAGGCGGGGTTGTTTCCTACGTGTTATGCCTAACGGGTCGTAACAAGTAAGATCTTACTCAATAATAAGCCTACCTTGAGATAGTTGCATATTAGGAGCAAATTGTTTTGAGTATGGTCGTCTCGCATGAGAGAGGTATTTACACTAGAAATTAGATCATACATATTGCTGGACCAATCAACTGGCTTCTCATGGAATCAGGGTAAAAGGATGATAACGTTAGCCGGGCTGTTAAACATAGTTGAGGCTACTCTTAGACCTGTATTCATCATACGCACCCTTTTCATTTTCTTCTCTACACAATTCTCTGGTTTCTTTAGTTAGCAAGATTTCGCGCCCAAAGGCACATAAACTGTGTTGATCAAAACAAGCACTCTCAAGCGAGCCTGAACTATTCAAGGTACGTACTGAGCTTGCTGCTTGGGCGCTAGCAGCCATATGTCAGGGGTCCCCAGCTGTCCGCCTCTTGCATCTTCGTCTTAGTCTCCTAGTTTTCGCGATCGTTCACGCGTTCGCCTTCATACAATCGAGGAGTAGGGCCCAATTACATTGATAGTCGTGCAATTTTCGTTGAAATGCTGCCTAGGCGTTCACAGGCTACCAGCCGCGCTAGGTATGGTGATCATCACTAGTTCAGCAACATGAGTCAAGAGAAAGCCGACCACTTGTACTTAAGGGACGTGCTTCGTCTGCTGAACAGATGTCTGATCTAAACTGTCAATTTCATGCAATTATTTTATTCGACTCAGCTTCTAACTATACCAACCGACTTTTATCACCTTCTATCTCTTTTTTGCACTCGTTCATCATGTCCGACGACCCAGGTGCTTCGTGTGCCTCTTGTGGCGCGGCGAACCCAGCTGCAACCCCTGTGTTTCCCAACGACCCTCTACACCAAGCGGCTTTTGGCGATGACATCGAAAGCCTGCAAGGGCTCATATCTGCAGGGGCTGATTTATCCGCCGTTGTGACCGCGAGAGGCTGGACAGCGCTTCATCTTGCGGTTCAATCGGGAGGTGAAGGGACTGTGACAGCCTTGCTGCAAGCCGGCGCCAATCCATCTGCGGCAACGAGCGATGGAGTAACACCATTGCATAATGCTGCTGCCGGCGGAAGGGTTGCAGCAACCAAGTTGCTTCTGAACGCCGGAGCCAATGTCAACGCACGCAACATCGACAACGAGACACCCCTACATGTGGTGGCCTTGTTTGGAAATATGCAAATAGCAAAGCTACTGGTGGAGTCGGGCGCGGACGTATCAGCCAAAGACTGTTACGGAAACACACCCCTGCATATAGCTGCTTCACACGAGGTTCTGGACATTATTCAGGTCCTTCTGGATGCTGGTGCTGACATGAACGCGGTCAACAACAACGGAAACCCTGTGTTGCACCATGCTCTATCCGATTCCCTAACTGCAATAAGATTCCTCATTCGGGCGGGAGCGGACACCTCTCTTCGTGGCCAATTCGGCACAACACTTTTGCATCTGCCAAGAAATTCCGAAGGGCTGTTCGACGTTATTATAGAGTGCGGTGGTGATCTGGAGGCGGTAAACGACGACGGAGCAACTCCACTACATGAGACCGCGGCGTACGGCACTGCGCAACACTTGCAAAGGCTTCTTACTGCTGGTGCTAATGTGAGCTCCACGACCAAAAAGGGAGAAACGGCTCTACATCTAACTGCGGGGGACCCAGATGCCCCATATTTGGGCGACGATGGAGAATCAGAGGCAAAAGCGAGATTGCTGGTGGCTGCTGGGGTTGGTTTGAACGCAAGGACAATCTCGGGGGAGACAGCTTTAGATCGTGCATTGACGTGCAATCGCGATGGGGTTGCAGGCTTCATTCGTGAGACGATGTCTCAAGAGCGTGAAGGGAACTGAGTTGCCCCATCGACATTCACACTTAGTCTATGATTCACGAGGTGTAAAATAAGCAAGTCACATTGGAAGCATCAAAAGCTTTGAAGGCATACAATATTCCTTTTCTCATGAACTAAAGTATTCTATAAAACTACAACGCCCAATTACAACGCCCGCTTGGACTCCTTATTCTCCTCGAATACATGCGGAAGATTTCAAGGGGTTGGTGTGTAGGTAGCGTCTGCTGGCAAGCTGGAAGAGGCAATCTCCGGGCCGTCTTCAATCAGATCATCATCGCCGGTATCAGTTGTTGAAGGAGTCGGTGGGTTCGAGGTGGTAGGATCGCTTGCGGGCTCCGTTGGAGTCGAAGGCGTTGAAGGAGTCGCCTCAGGGGGAGACGACGAAGCGGGCTCCTCAGGCTGAGTAGGAGGCGTCGTCGGCGTCGGGGTATCCGCCGCGTTGCAGTTGTCAGCCTCGGGGGCCAAGCCAGTGTAAAAGTTGGCGTTGAAAGCTGCGTTCAGGGAGGCTTGGATGTTGTTGTCGGTAAAAGGGCATCGGGCATGTTCGTACACAATGCCGTTGAACTGCTCTGAGGCCGGCTGAGACAGCTTTTTCCAGCTGATCATTGGGGGGTTGAGGGCGTAATCGGCGCCGTCTTTGGAAGGAAACACGTTCATCTGGCCGTCATATCCGACGATGGGATGGGTGTTGCCGGGACCGGAACCGCTGTCTCCAGAGCTGTAAAGCGTCTGACCACTAACTGACGTGTCGTAGGTTTCCTTGCCGGTAGAGTAGCTGACTCCAACGACGCGGTAGTCGTCCGCCGTTGGGTCACACTTGTCCGAGTGGACCCAGACGACGGTGGTCAGGTAATAGTGCTTGTGGTCTTCGGCGTTCTGGATCTTGGGCAGATACCACGAATACAAGATACCGGTCCGACCGTTGGAAGTTCCAACTCTGGCGTAAAGCTGACCCTTAGTGCCATCGCGGCAATCGCCGCCGCTCTTTCCCGTGGGCTTCAGTCCCTTGCTAGATTGGCAAAGAGGTCAGTCACAGCATCTATTGTTATGTATAAAGAGAAACATCTTTTTGCGCACGTACTTGTGGAAGCCGTCCTTGTCAACAGCGGCATATGGGAAGCAACCACTCCCGTCGTTCAGACCTGGCTTAAACCGCAATTCGATCTCTCCCTCGATGCCGTCTGCAGCTTGTTGTTGAAAGGCAGTAACCTGATCGTGATCCTTCCATTTGCCGCCCACGGCAACATCTTCACCGCGGCCATAGAGAACGCGGCCAGAGGCGAGGGAGGTTAATCCCAACAAAATGAGTGACGAGAATGAGTGATGCAACATTGTTGCCGAAACAGTAAAGAATGACTAGAAGGAAGACAATGAACGACAGAACCGAGGAGCTTGGAATGCAATGAGCGAGAGTCGAAATTTTGGGGCCGTAACGAAAGACTATATACATCAGATTACCAGAAGTTGGACAGGCCAGCCCCTGTGATAGTATCACTTAGACACATTAAATTCATAAACAGCAACATAACGTCATATTATCTGCAGGGCGTTATCCTGCTAATCCCGCCTTTTCCGCAAGGCTGATCCATCATTAGTGCTCTCGACCTTCGTTGACACTATCTTAAGAAACCTGGTGTTTGATCGACAACACGTTAAATTGAGTTGAACACTCTGAGCCCGCTCGGTTCATCCGAATCACAAAGCTAAACTGATTAGATTCTTTATCCCCTAATGCAGCCCCACACTGTACCTAAGGGTTTTGGTGCAGATTGGGATGCGAGTCAGCTGCATAAAGTGGCTTAGTCCCTGATCAGACGGGTGACCTGTGGGTCGGCCAAGGCTGCACAATTAATTGCATGAACTTACATGAGTCGGCGACGCCGTATGCTATACGACTCTCTCGGAATCGCAAAAGACATTGTATAATAAAGGTCAACACGGTCATTGCCGTCACCGGCATCCCATACCTTATTTTCAATCAACTTACTCTCTTTTAGTTTTTGCAATTAGCCTGTGCGCAGTTGCCGTGTTTGTTTGAACACTTTCATTCTTTCCGTTTTTGGACATTGAATCGCTTTTAAAACATGATTTCCCATCGTTTTTCAACACTTTTGTTTCTTCTGGTGTCTTTGGCCACCCTTGTAAGTCCCCGAGACTTCAAGACCTCATAGTTTGAGGTGTTGCTTTTGGTGTGAATGATTCTCTGACATCTGTGGATAGATATCTGCAGTGCCTGTTCGACCTTTTGCTGTAAGTATTTTCAGCATTCGTTGTACTTTGATGTAGATTCGGGCAGCTGACACCACTTTAGGGAAACTCAGCATACGCGGTCGACGCTGAAGAGAACAAAGAAGAGGGGCGATGGGGCTTCAGTGTGTACGCAGATGGTTACACAGCCAAGGACGCAAATGGCAAGGTGTTGCCCGTTGATACCCTCATGGTCAACACGGTGTCCAAGCGCCTGACCGTCATGAAGGCAATGAACGGAGACGACAAGACGGACCCTCGACTGAAAATGCGCCAGGTTCTTAAGGCGTGCTGGGAGATGACTGGTCTCAAGCCTTCCGAGCTGAAGACCGTGATGGGATGGAAAATCAGTAACACCAACATGCAAGAAGCCCTAGCCTCGTGCCGTACCGATTTGAAGCTCAAAACGGCGGATTCGTTCACGATCACCAGCACTGAAACGGAACCTGAGCGCAAGAAATGTTGGGAGACTCTTGGCAAGACCATATTCTCGTCGGCTATTCAAGGTGCCATTAAGGACTTCGATATCAACAAGGAGCTTCTTGAGCTTGAGGTAGACCATGGGGAGGGATGGGATCATCTTTACTACCGGTTCTCGGCACCAGATGAACAGTGAGATCATTGGTAGATTCTTCGCGTAAATCAGCAGCAGTCAAACAGGGACCTTTTGCAGTCATTCATTCCGTGACTTTGACCATGCACAGATTGGAAGTACACAGTGCCCAGCAACTCACCATCACCCTCAGGTTGCTCCATCGGCAGGTTGAGACGCGACGCCTCTAACAGCCTTGTAAGCACAATGCCGCCTCGGGAGACTCCGCTAGGAACTCGAGGTGGCCGTGCAGTAATCCGGGCGTCGGCGTATGCAGTCATCAACGGCAGACTGCAGTCGAGTGGCGATCAAGCACAATGAGGCTGCTTCGGTCCATCCAATCAAAATCTTCAGCCCAAGTAAGTGACTTTTGTTGCATACAACAATGATTAAATATTGAAGTGCATTTGTGCTGCACGGATTGACCCCACGTTTTTGACTCCGTGCTAGTTACTGCCTTCGGACAACAGCCCCCAAATCTGACTACTCTTTATTGCAGGTACAATCCTCGCCGTCAGCGGAGAGAGAATTCGCCCGTCTGATGCTTGCATGTTTGCGCAATGGCATGGGTAGGTCATATTTCAGCTTTGCATATCCTAAACCAAACCGGGAAGTGTGAATGTCCTTGTAGTCTTGGTAACGGAAACTGGCTGCAAGATCACGGACCGTACACATCTACTGAGAGCATGAAGAAACTATAGCTTTATGTGTCTGATACAGCTGAGTATGCGATGACGAGTTGGGAACCGGAGCATGGTAGAGGTCGTCTTTAGCATACACCTGGTTTGGACACGTAGTAGCCAGGAGATCAAGTACTCCGTGTGTAAGCGATAGAACATGACTTTTGCCAATCACAATAGGCATCGGCAATGTCATTGCATGTTTTTATATTTCGTACTCGCACTGTTGTCTTGTCACTGAGGCCAAGTATCCTTCTCCGAATGGCCTGCTGTCATCATCAAGAATGGGTGTGGTGCAGATACCGACATCCCTTTGACTATGATGAGTGGACCCCATAGCAGCAAACCAAGACGTATTGGAACCTCAAGGTGCTTTTCAATGCATCGAGAAGGCACCGAGGTTCGCTAGAAGAAATTCTGGAAGTCCACTCCATCAAGCTGAAAAGCTATCGGGTAGGGTAGGAAGGGAGGAGTAGGGGCGGTCCGACATTAACCATAAATACGAAGCTGGCCGGTTTATCAAGTCTCCCTTAGTTTCGAGAGCTTACCCTACGTCGTAAAATAAGTCCAAACAAACACTCCGCGGACGAAATCTTGCCTACTCTCATCATGTCTCCTCTTATTGCCCCTTCTCACAACACCATAGTCGTTCGCCCGCACATCGCTATCACCCCTGAAGAGCGTGAGGAAGTCTTACGCTCCTTCGAAAACAATGTCTTTGCCTTCCCCGCAGCCCTCCCCACCTGCGATTATCTCTCTGATTCGGCCACGTCGGCCATGACTGATGTTCAGTGGGCAGCGATGCTCCGGGGTGATGACAGTTATGGCCGCAGCTCAGGCTACTATTGCCTCCTTGAGGCTTGCCGCGATGTCTTCGAGCGTGGTGAAGATCGTTGATCTGTCTTCAAGGATGTCCTTGCCGGCACAGCTGACAGCACTTTCTATCGCAAGGTATTCCTCAAGGAGGTCTGTGGCAGATACGTGAATGATGAGATACAACGCTTATACCCGAATCCAGTCTCTCTAGATCGTTTCAACCGCATCAAAGATCCCTTCTTTCCCTCAGGGGCGGAAGCACAAGGAACCTTTGCAGGGTGGCACAGCTTTGTTGCTGAAGAAGGCTCTCGTCCGGGATGGAAGATCTACCTGAACGCCAATGCTCAGGGAGAATCCCGGGCCCCAGCAGTTGTCCGCGAAGCCCTCAACAAACTTTGTATGCCACAAACTTGGGCTCCTCTTGAGAAAGTCTTACTGCCAGGCAACAAGCTCATGTATCTTTCACTGGATCTGTGCCCTGGCTCTCAAGCCCGAGTCAAGATTTATGTGCAGCATCGCGGCGCAACGGCCGCGGATCTATCGCAGGCGGCCTCCATCGTTGCCCCCGACATCGTTGGTGCATCTGATCCCGAAATACTCCAGGTCTGTACCGTTCCGAGTGGTGGCTCTGAAGGGCCATACAAGGGCAAGGGGGCGATGACTTGCTTCAGTTTCACTGCGGACGGTGGGGATTTGAAGTCAGAGGTGGCAGTGTATTTCCCTGTTCATGAGTACGCCTCTGATGATGCTGAGATCCGTAAGCGGATAGAGACCTACTTGGGGACTGCTGATGAAAAGGCTCTGAAGACGTATCAGAGAGTACTTGATGCCGTCGCTCATCGGCCTCTGCAGGATGGCCGGGGAATTCATGCATGGGTTGGGTTGAAGATGACGAGAAGCCGGGGGTCTGTAGTGACCTTCTATCTGGCTTCTGAGATGTTTGGCGTGTTGCCAAAGAGGCTATAAAAGTGCTTTGATGGCGGCATCCTACCGATTATGGGTTGATTTACAAGCCATGAGATGCTACTCAGCAACTTCTGTCACCTTGCGAGCTTGAAAGAGAGAATGGTCAATCATGGATTAGTAATCTTTGTCATAATATCATAGTCATTTTTGTTGAGTTTTGTGTTTCTTATCATCTTCGGTTGTCGGTGTTTTCGGCGTTTGTCCTTCATTGTTCTGTGTGAGACAGTGTCGATCGGGGTTGGGGTGCTTTTTGATATTTCATCGTGCCAAAGTGCCATTGCTGCAGTTCTGCATGTATCTCGCAGCTTCCACAGTCTCGATTTCGAAAGGCGTCAAGGAAGGACCCGCAAATCATGGTAATTGCGGCCTTCTCCAGTTCGCCTAAACGTGAGCATAGAATTTATATCACTTCCGCAAGGACGCCCTCAAATCATTGGTCTCACCTCCTTCTGTCACACCAGACATCAAGCTAGAGTACAACTTGGAATATCCCGTATACCAATTGACATGGCCGACATGCCTGCACATGCCGACTCGGGACATGCGCGCAGTGAGGCGATAGCACCGACTACATACTCGACAGCCCAGCTTTGCCACATGCTTCGACTCCCACGAGAAATACGCGACATGATATATGAGAACGGACTATTGCCACAACATTCCACAATCCTGCTTTCATTCGAACGCCATCAGAAGCATCAACTTGGATCCAGTCTCTTCTGGACATATCGGCAGCTCAGAGCAGACGCCATCGACTTCGTCTGTGATCGAAACTACTTCGTCGTTGCGTTCCACTTGCCACCGAGCCGTTTACTCCAAGCCAGGTTACAGATCGTGGACTCTTGGCAAGCATTTATCTATAAGCCAACATTTCTGGCACTGCTCGAGAATGTTAGGTTTCTTCGGTTGCAAATCCCTCAGATGGTGATTGCGGATGATGGACTCACTCTGGCGCGAGGACTCGTTGATCGCGCGGCCCGCCTGGAACGATTGGTAATTCAAATCTGCGAAACAAAAGACACACGCCTCCACCCCACGCGTATCCTTACAAGGCGCGGCTCAGGTGGTCGGTTTCTCAATCGACTTCTTCGTCTGCCACTGCTCAGAATTCTTCAAGTCTCACAATTAGATCAGACCGACGATTGGATCGCCAATGGTTTTCAGCCTGAGACGAATGGTCGGGTGGAGTTTATTTGCAACGGCCATCACTTCCCGCTCAACACGGCAGATTTCTGGGATTTTTCACTAGTATGGGAGTCCGTGAGACAAAAGGCGAAGTCTCTGGACTGCAAGACTTTACCTCGGTCCTCTGAGGAACACTTTGTTCATTTCAGCGGTGGCGACGTACATCCTGTCCTGTCACGACTCCACAGTTGCACTTTATTGGGATGCAAGGCGCTTGTGATGGAACACATTGAACATCACCTCATGAGTCTTGCATTTGAACATCGCAAGGAGGTGTACAGAAAGTTGCCGGAGATGTGTAGCTTTCGATGTTTGGATCCTAATCGCGACTACGACTGGTTGTGGACGGAGTATAATGGAGCATGACAAGAAGGGTCAGTCTAGCTGAGAGCCTGAGGTTTTGCGGGACCGAGTGTATCGAAGGTGCAGAAAGATGATTTGGCGAGTCAAACGTATGTCACAGCATTGAATCGAAGAGAAATAACATTCTGCATCACCACACTTGGCAACATCTCTTGAGAGTAGCAGCCGAGCACCAACCGTGACAACTAGTTGCTGCCTCTTCACAGCAACTCTTCCCATGTGCCGCAGAGCTGGCCTTCCTATCCTGGAGTTGTCCCCGCCCTCAGCATCCACCGGGATCCACGATATGGATCACATCGGCCCTATGGCGCAACGGTAGCGCGTTCGACTCCAGATTCTGTCCTGCGACCGTTTCTGAGCTGAAATCGAAAGGTTATCCGTTCAAATCGGGTTGGGGTCATCCCTTTTTGTCCCTGGACGCATCGTAGTTCTTTATTTCGCTCCTATGATGCGTGGTTGTGGTGTTGAGCGATGTTCATATGGGCTGGTGGCATACCTGCGCCCCACGTGATTGAAGGGCTGCGAAATAGTTTAGTAAGAAAAACTCAATTGACATACGCTTGTTCGGCAGTTATCTTTGACTTCCTGTGCCAGATGGTGTGTCCCGGTGTGTGGGTTTGTCGGATTTAGCCGCATTGCGAGCCAGGGTTCGCGTGTCAGACCGAGCTCACCGAACACGCACAGCGAGATATCCCGCGGCGCCAATTCCCTGTTGGAGGATAATCAGGATAGGCAACTGCCTATTTCGGAGCCTTAAAACATCATCTCATGAGATCCCTTGTTACATTTTGTGCATATTGTCAGAGTCATGGAGGCACCCGGAAGCCTGGGATGCCCACGCAAAAGAAGCAAGGGATGCCAAGGGCATTGACGGAGTAACCCCGAACACTCGGGAGCATGTGGTCCGAGCTTTCGGGTATCACCCGATGCCTCCGCATTCACAGGCTTTGGGGATGCTTCCGGACAACTCCGGCATCGCCGCTGTGAGACTGCTGCACGACATTCAGTAGCCGTACTGGCCAGTTCATAAGGTCAAAGACAAACTTCTGACCTTATAGCATCTCATACACGTGCTTCATTTGCGTATATTGTCATTTCTACCCAACCCGATCCTGCAATGTCTTCTCGAGCCCTTGAAGCCCTCCGCAAGTTCACGGCATGTGACGTAAGTATCAACGCCGCCGGGCTCAACCCGATCAGCGGTCATCTCTGTAGCCCAGACAGCCTCACTCGCAACATGATTTGTTTCTGACAAAGGTAAAGATCGGAGATGCCCTTGTGAAGCTCAAGTACCCCCAGGGTGGCTTCCTCGATGGAATCCGGATGTTTTCCCCCGGCTCCGGCACGCGCATTTTCGGCCCCGCAGTAACGGTGCAGATGGTCGAGACCAGCGACACCTCGGCCCCGAAGCTGGACAAGCACTTCGTCGACCACAATGAAGAAGGTGGCGTCATGTACATCCAGCAACCCAAGGGCCTCCCGTCCGCGTGCTGGGGCGGTTTGATGTCCACTCGGGCCAAGTTTCTGGGTGCACAGGGCGTGGTCATTGACGGGCGAATGAGGGATGTCGGAGAGCACAATGAGATGGGATTCCCGGTAAGTTTAAGCGAACGCGAAGAGCTTGTTTCTTGTCCGGCTTAATCCAACGATTCCCGTAGTGTAAACTCTACTAACGACATCGGCAGGTGTTTGCCCAGGGTACATCTATTCTGGGCTCGAACACATTCACGCGGGCGTCGAGGGTCAACGTCCCTCTTCAATTCAAGGGTGATCTCTGGATCAATCCTGGCGACATCTTGATTGGGGATGCGGACGGTGTCGTGGTGACGCCGCCTTCATTGGTCGAAAAGGTTGTCGCTCTGTGCCAGGAGCGGGCCGAGGTCGACGAGAAGATGTTTGTTGAGTTGCGAAAGGGTGCTTCGATGGGTGACCTGATCAAGACCGTGCGTAAGGACAAATAATTAGCCGGTCGTAAACAGCCGGAGTATAGTAGGTATGAATTAAGATACGCGATGTTTCATGAGTGAAACCTAAGATGGTAGAATTCTTTTGCTCTCGGTAAAATTGCTGTGTTAGTGACTCGAGTTTAGTCCCGGTAAAGTTGTCGAGTCTGGCGTGGAGTAGTTGTAAGGGGTATTTTCCAGGGGTTCTCACATGTCGCATGTGCCCGTTACGATTTCTGAAGCCTGTAGATAGGGAACTGCGGAGGTAATGCGAGGTGCGAAATACTACAGCACAGAAGTAATCATAATCAATCTAAGTTCTATGCTCTACGGATGCGCTCTATCACTCGAATAATTCACTCGGGTTCCGCATCATCAACAAGTCCCATTCCTCATCCGACAGCCATGACTTGAGACTCCTCAGCCAAGCTGCATCGTCGACTTCCAGGTACGGCGTCTCTTTCATAGCCGCCTCGTGTGTTCTCACCTTCATCCGCGGCGTGTGGGGCCAATCACTGCCCCAAAGAACGCGGTGCTTGTTAGCGTCCACAAATGCGCGTACCAAGAACTTGACGTCGCAGTAGTCCGGCTTTTCCTCGCTGATGCGGTACGGCGCGCTCAGCTTCACCCAGAGGTGGCCGTCTCTGACCAGCCTCATGATCGCGTCGAACCCTGGTTGTGTCGCTGGCCGGTCGCGATACTCCTCTGAAAGCAGACTTGGTGCCTTTAGTAGCGCGAAGTGATCTGTTACCAGCTTGACTCCATATTTTGCAAGATTCTCCCTGACAAATGGTTCCAACTCCTCCCAGAAGTCGGTCCGGGTTGTAGTCATCGTAAGGCTCCAGGGCAACGCAAGCGCAGTGATTCTCCGGAGGTGAGCTCGAAGAGCTACCTTTTGTAGTTCGACATCTTCCATGGCTTTATAACGATACAGATTGACACGGAGCCCCCGGACACCGGCTGCGTGCATTGCTCTCAATTCATCGTCGGTCGTCGTTTCTGGGTCTATGACACCGATCGCACGCGTCTTTTGCGTTCCCAGCCGAGGCACGAAAGCCTTTAAGGAGGTGCAATCATCACCATAGGACAGGCCATGAGTAAGGACAGATCTGGTGATCCCCAGGCTTTTCTTGAACTTGTCAAAGGCAGAGATGGTCGCAGGAGGCGGTGTCAAGTGCCTGTTTGGATTGTAAGGGAAAGACTCGGCTATGTGGAAGGGTATTTGTTAGTCTCAACTTCTCGTGCGTGCACCTTATTGCGGGCTGTTCATCGTGATCTCCAAGTGAATTAAACTTACGTTCGAAGATATGATGGTGAGTGTCCCATCCACCGTGAGGAAACAGATTCCCATCTGTTCCTGCGGTCACTGTAGCTGAAGGGGCCATTGTGGATGTTGTCTGCGCTCTTTGGTGTACTCCGTTCCAAACTCGGCTCAGAACGACGACACCGATAGCCCCCGATCAACCGATGATTCGCTTGTTATACACATTGTTGCTTCGGTTTCCGATTCGGCATCAGAACAACGACCCGAACAACCGGCAGTATCCCGCGGGCAAACAGTTTGGCAACTCGCAAATGCTTCCCTTCAGCTCAGGCGACGGAATCGTCACGCCAGTTTGTTAGTGGAGATGGTGATGATGATGATCCTACGAGGAGTAGTCCGTCGTGTTAGACGGATGGCTCCGATATGTCTTGGGCTACTCCCTGACAGGCGGGTTACTCCAGTGAGGCGGATAGCTCCCAGCTTTGGCACACCTGCGCCACACCAACCTCCGTGGAACGCGTGGATTCCATGCGATGCGCGGATTCCTCCATCCCATGTTCCCGCCCTAGCGCCGCCACGAGAATACCTCGAACCATGGCATCTTGGTCTTTTTTTGACTACGCAGATATCGTCTAGTCGTGTACGTAGTGGATGTAAGTCGCTCCCGTCATGTTCCCGGCAGATTGCGAACACACCGAGTGTCACAAATTTCGAAGGGAGACGGACGGAGCTCCGCGTCTCACGGATTCAAGATGAGTGCCGAAGCTCACGGGTGGCTCCTGTCTGAGGATACCGGGGCTCGTCCATGGGTTTTCGGGGCAGTCCAATAATGTGCACTGCTCAATGGACTATGTAAGACTGCCCAGAGGCGCCCGCCTGCAGGCATCGGTTCACTGGCTGTATGATAGACCTCTTGGCTTGACTGAATAGGTATTGGAAGATATCAACCATGAGTCGCAGTAGCACGTCCCCGACCCCCTTGCAATCAGTGGTTGCTGGTGCAGCTGCTGGGGGAGTAGAGTCTCTAGTCACGGTATGTAAACTCGGTCTCGCTATTCAAGTGATTGCAAACATATTACAAAGTCTCTACTATGCTAACATGAGTCAAGTATCCTACAGAGTACATCAAAACGCGAAAACAACTGCTGAGTTCGTCCGAATCTCCACTACGAATTCTTGTCTCAGCCGTACGGACCTCTGGACCTGGCGTGCTGTACACGGGGGCCAGTGCGTTCTGCGTCTCAAATGCATCCAAGTCAGGCGTACGATTTTTTACATTCGATGCCATCAGGAAAAAGCTCCCGCAAGATGCCCAAACGGGGAAACCAACCAAGGTTGCCAATATGCTTGCCGGTGTCGCGGCTGGCGTGGCCGAGAGCGTGACAGTGGTGACCCCTGGCGAGAACATCAAAACCAAGATTGTAGAAGACAGAGCTGGCGCTAGGCGATTCAAATCGACAAGCCATGCGATCAGAAGTATCGTAGCCATGGAGGGCCTCGGAGGGCTTTTCCGCGGCATTCTGCCGGTGACTCTGAAGCAGGGCTCGAACGCCCTTGTTCGGTTCACCAGCTACAATGCTCTCCTCGATGTGATCAGCCCACCAATGGAGCTCCGCGGCAAGGGATCTCTAGCTCCAGTATTTGCAGGCGCTACAGCGGGTATCATTACGGTCTACGCTACGATGCCTTTTGACGTCGTCAAGACCAAAATGCAAGCTCTTGAAGGCGCCAATGTCCACCGTGGAACGTGGCAATGCGCATCCGCTATTGTTCAAGATTCTGGGTTATCAGGGCTGTGGAAAGGCACGACACCTCGGCTGGCGCGACTAAGTGTAAGTTCATTTTTTGATAAAATTGATGCCGCTTTGGTCCCGTCTTTGCGACCGGCAGAAGAGCACCAAGGCGTCGCTGACAGCCACTTACCACGTGCACTTACTGACGTGCAGTAGATATCTGGTGCATTGAGCTTCACCATCTACGAAAACGTTGTCAGTTTGATGCAACAGGGCAGCAAAGACGAGGGAAGAAGGTTAGAAGCTAAGTTGTGAAGAGCGATAGCTTGCCTACGTCGAAAACCTACTCGTACGCCATCAGGGAACTATCAATGCTCAAACACCAGCCCTAGAAGCAGGGATACGGAGCTCCGCACTCAATCCAAGATGCATCTGATCTCGTTAGTCTCAACGGGAACGTGGGTACATATCGGGTCAAATTGCCTGCCAAACTACAATAAGAATACGATACCGAGGCCGAAGGGAACTGTCAGTAATATGTAATGGATAGTCTGCAGCCGTAAGCTTCATCGTGAGTGGCTTCAGGAGAATAGACTCAGGAAAGTCCCCGGTGTTAAACTATGGAGACCGGATTTGACGCTACCATTGGTGTTTATACGGCAGATCTCCACAAACTGCCGAGGTGGAAAGACTCGTTTGGGGCACCTAGCGTTGCTTTCTCGCGTACTGAGACCGAAATATATTGCGGACAGTGGGCACTGGCCTAACAAAAGGTTTTGGGATCCGTACTGGAAAAAGACCAGACGGTCTCTACTCGCGTATGCTTTAGTGTGTGCATGGCTACATCCCGTGGGGTGCCTAAGAGCAGCGGATTGCCTGCCACGACATCCGTCGTCGCTAGATCTGTACCGATGCTGCTGGCAACCCTGGTACATGCCTCTAGGTAGACAGAATGAGGAGAAGAAGAGCCTTTGCCATCGCTCCAGTTCACCCGAAACCCCTGTCCACTTTAGCCAGGCCCCTAATTATTTCCGTCTTTGCGGAAACAAATTCCCATTTTGCCTGCCCACATTGCTTACTTTTTCACTTTCACCTTACCTTGACCAGTGCGTCCGTCTCGCCCTGCCGCTCACCCGTCGTAGCTGTACCCCACTCACCAGAATCAAGCCACATTCCGTCTAGAACAAGATGTGACAAGCCCCGTTCCCTACCTTGTTCCAGTCCGCCTTTCTGGGTCTCTACCGAACAAGGACTACAGCGGTTGACTTTCGGGGGTGCCACCGGCGCCGATTCATTTTCTCGTTGCTCACCTTGATCTGCTGGCCATGCCCCCAACAACTCTGTACCAATCACACAAACAACAGAGGACAAAAATTAATCGCAACGCTCACCCAACCTCACGGGAGATGTCATCGCGGATGAATCCGCCAAAGAAAGTGCGTCTGGCGTGTCGACGCTGTCGCACGAGACGGATCAAGGTGAGACCTTTTTTCTCCTCTCTCACATCGGCTCAGCTCCCGTCCCCCTGACGTGCCGTTTAGTCTGCTGGGACCGCGTTACTCCGGCCCAATGACTTTTACGTGTCTGGATACTCACTACTTACCAGTGCGACGGAGAAGTCCCTGCCTGCACAAACTGCGCAAAAGCCGGCGAAACTTGCCTCGATGTCGACAGTCAGAACTCGGGTTTGCTGGTCCCTCGCAAGTAAGTCGATACCCGCGTGTTCGCAAAGCTATACGAGCACCATCCCACCGGCTCGGTTTCACGAGCTAGACCCCTTGTTGTTGGCTGCAAGTCAAAAAAGATTATGTTCCGCGCTGACGGCCCGATCCGGACGATAGCTTCGCAAGTGCTGCCCGGGCAAGGATTCAATGGCTCGAAGACATCATCAAATCGCGACTCCCCGATGTTGACCTCTCTACCGGCCCGCAGATCGATGCGTTCCCGGACCCGAAGGGCTCGGCGGCCGTCGGCGGTGGTGGGGACCTTGAAGACGACAACGTCTCAACGCCGTCGCCTAGGTCCGGCCGGGCGGGCAGTCAGCCAACGGGCCGGACCGCAAGTCTGGGGTCCCAACGGCAGTCTCTCAAGCGTCCCGCGGAGGCCGCGGGCTCCTACGATCACGACGAGCAGTTCCCGGACCGCGCGCACTCAGTTGCCATGAACCTGGGAATGTTGTCCCTCAACTCCGACTCAAGCCAAAAACACTATCTGGGCTCAAGCTCCGGTGTCTTGTTCACGAACCTCATTGGGGCGTCTCCTTCGAGCGCTGGCTCAACTCCGGCGGCGTTATTGGAAGATGTGCAAGCTCAAGGGCCTTCATCGGAATGGTACGACACGTCAGTACCGACTGATATCTCGAAACAGTATAATCGCTCTTTACATATTTTCTTACGCCAGGTTCGTCTCATAACTTTTGCGGGACTTTACACAGCGGGATTTGGGTACTGATTTGAAACAAACAGGAATTACCAAGGAAAGAAGATGCGATCAAGCTTGTACACACCTATGTCCGTTGGATGCATCCCGATTATCCAGTCCTAGAACCGACTTCTCTTTTGAGCGCGCTCGATGCCCTGTACTCGACGTTTAGCTGTTCACTAGACGATGACCCCTTCCCACATGGCTGGCCTTCTACGATGCAAGCGTTCCGGTGGAATGGCAGACAGAGACTACCCGGCGACCAAGGCGTTCATTCCGTTCCTATGCCAGTTGTGGCTTTTATACTCTTCATGGTCTTCAACATTGCGGCCATTGTCAAGGTTAGGGGACGAGTATACGAATTCCCACCAGAAAGATTCTACCGAGCAGCTCTCCATTTCTCCAAGGATTGCTTTTCCCAAATCTCTCTATCTTCAATCCAGGCGTTGGTTGTTCTCATCGTACACAGCATGCTCACACCAGCGGAGGTAAATCTATGGACTCTAATCCATATTGCTCTTGCTCATTGTGTAGAGCTGGGCATACATAGAGAGCCGTTAAACACAATCGAGCCTGCAGACTTTGAGAATCAACAGATCAGACGTCTGACATTCTTTACGATATATTCTCTCGATAGGTAAGTTCCCTGGGAGAATCTTTGCAGCCCTGCCATCCGTTACTAACCACCCTCAGATCTGTATCTTCCATACAAGGGCGACCACTCGGCTTTCGCGACGAAACATTCGATATTAAGTTGCCCGAGTCTCCTCCCGCGCACCCTGGGTCGGCGAGCGGCACGATCCCATTGTCTTTCTCTGCAGCCGTTTTGCGGTTTGCAAGATATCAATTTGAGCTAGACCGCATGGTCTCCGACGTCAAACTGCAATTATACCATCTTCCATGCGATTCTGCATGGTTTCCTCTGCCGCAAAATCCGCCAGCTCAACAAGCAAGAATAAAAGAAGAGCTCGTGAACTGGTGGGATCGGGTTTCTAGCGAGACGTTCGACTTTCCGGGAATCGACAACAGACAACGGCGGATGTGGCAGATCAAATTGAAGGTCAAGTACCACACAACTATGGTTATGCTATTCCAACCGTCGCAAGCGATCCGCAATCCCTCTCCAAAGTCACTGCAGGTCTGCTTCAACAACGCCGCATCAATACTGCACAATTATCAGGCTCTGCACGACATGCAAGGTTTACATCATGGATGGCGCACAGTACAGAACATTTTTGCAGCTGGAGCAACCCTCATATACTCGTTCTGGACGTGTTCTACAGTTCGTCAAAACGCTTCAACGGCGGACTTGTCGAAGAGCCTTCGCACATGCTGGAGCCTGCTTACTGTCGGCGGCGAGTGGTGGCCATCTGTAAAAAAGGGACAACGAAGTTTCGGCGCAATTGTTGACCTCACTATCCGAAAGCTCTACACCGGAAATATGCCCTCAAAGAACCCTCGGTTGTACATGCCACTTGGTGCAGACCGGCTCGAGGATGGCCAAAACGCCCTGGACCACGCTGACGGAGGGCATTCCGTCTATGACGCAACGGCCCAGCAGGCAGATCTCGCCCACATCCCGCTCAACGGAACCGACGCTGCTTGGCACCAGATGCCGGGCTCGTCCGCTGTGGCCATGGCGCACTCTCAAGACGCAGTGCACTGGCAAGGCGTCTACCCCGAACCACCCTTCCATGGAGGATCCAACGATTACGTTCCGGAAATCGAGACTTTCCTGGCCGACTTCGACAAGTCGGAATTCAGCTGGAGCTTTCCATTAGCCGGCATCGGCGACCCGTATGAGATGGGCAACTTTCCCAACCCAAGCTACTGATTATGCCGTTCTCCGTCAGCATTTTGCCGAAGTGTTCCAGCCATTCAGGAGAATCCTATTTTAGTGGAATCAGCAGTCTCAGTTGCTGTGGCTCTAGAGCGTGGAAGCGGACTACTCCGGCTAGACTATTGTTTTTGGTGGTGGACGGAGTAGCCCGCTAGCAGATCCCTGCACAACACCTGGACTACTCCGTCTCTTGCCCAAAATGGCCTTGAGGACGGAACTGTCCAGCATCTGGCAACCGAGGAATCGTAGCTCTTCGAGAATTGGCGTCGCGAAACATGAAGATTTGAACATCTTTGCGCACCAGATCACAAGTGAAAAAGATGGCTGTATTCCCCCGCTCTTGGCGGGTTGACTTGTTGGTGCAGATGTTGCAATCATGTCGTTCACGCTGTTGAGGGAGGCCCGGTCAAAAGCATGCTCGTCACTCCGACAAGGGTCTCGTGCTGCGCGGACAAGACATTTCGCAACTCCATCAGGGCAAGTAGCTTTGAGTCCTCTAGAGCCGGTAAGTTGTTCTTGACTGCTTTAAACGATTGGAAGGTTTTCTGACTTGTTTCTAGTACAACACTCTAGACTACGCCCTTCGGCTACAAGCCCTCCGCGACGTCCAAAAATCCAACAAACGACCCCTGACACTGTCTGAAAAGGTTCTTTACAGCCATCTGATACCCGGTGAAGAAGGATGGGTTCTCGACGAAATAAAAAGAGGCAAGACGATACTGCGTCTGCGACCGGATCGGGTTGCCTGTCATGACGCGACGGCGACCATGGCGTTGCTCCAATTCATAAGCGCTGGTCTGCCGCGAGTCAGAGTCCCAACTTCGGTTCATAGCGACCACTTGATCGTGGCCGAAAAGGGAGACAAGGAGGATTTGTCAAGAGCTGCCAGCGACCACCGGGAGGTGTATGCCTTTCTGAGTTCCGCGACGAAGAAATACGGGATAGGTTATTGGAAACCGGGCGCCGGTATCATTCACACAACCATCTTTGAGAACTACGCTTTCCCTGGTGGTCTGATGATTGGTACGGATTCTCACACACCGAACGCGGGTGGCATGGGTATGCTGGGAATTGGCGTTGGCGGCGCCGATGCGGTTGATGCAATGTCCGGCATGCCTTGGGAACTCGCGTGTCCGAAGGTGGTCGGCGTGCGTCTGACGGGCAAGCTCCAGGGATGGAGCTCTTCGAAAGACATCATCTGCAAGCTAGCGGGTATCCTCACGGTTTCTGGGGGTAAAGGAAGGATCATCGAGTTCTTTGGCCCCGGCACCGAAACCCTCGGAGCGACTGCGATGGCTACAGTCTGCAACATGTCCGCAGAAATCGGGTCGACGTCCTGCATATTCCCATACTCGGAAGCCATGTCACGATATCTTTCGGCAACAAAACGGAAGGGCATCGCCAAGTACGCCGACTCCTTCAAGCAAGAGCTTCTTATTGCCGACGAAGGCAGCGACCGATACTACGACGACATCATCGAAATCGACCTATCGACCCTCGAACCCCACATCAACGGCCCCTTCACTCCCGACCTCGCCCACCCCCTCTCTCAGTTCAAAGACCATGTTAGCGAAAGCTCTTGGCCTACGAATCTGAGCTGCAGCCTCGTGGGCAGCTGTACCAACAGCTCGTACGAGGATCTCGAAAAGGTCCGCGACCTTGTGATACAGGCGAAGAAGGCTGGGCTGGATCGTCCAAAGACACCATTCTTGGTCAGCCCAGGGAGCGAACAGATTCGAGCGACAGCTGAAGAGGAGGGTATTCTTGAGACGCTACGACAAGCTGGTGCAACTGTCTTGAGCAACTCTTGCGGGCCTTGTGTCGGTCAATGGGATAGGAAAGATGTCGATGTCAAGGGGGCTGAAAAGAACTCCGTCATCTCCAGCTTCAACAGAAATTTCACTGGCCGACACGATAGCAACCCTGCAACCCACTCCTTTGTCACATCCCCAGAGCTGGCGACAGCTTTCGCTTTCGCAGGCAACTTGACCTTCAACCCCATCACAGACGCCATTCCTGTGCCCGGCGCGACAACGCCTTTCCGATTCACACCTCCAAAAGCGGAAGAGCTTCCCGTCGCCTTCTTCCCTGGCGCCGATCGATTCCAACCGCCAGTGATGACCGACACTTCGGAGTTGACCGTCAACATCGATCCTAAGAGCGACCGACTACAGCTCCTAACGCCGTTTGCGCCATGGCAGCCAGGAAACGCGAGTAACCTGACTGTCCTCATCAAGGTCCGTGGCAAGTGTACAACAGACCACATCTCCCCCGCAGGTCCTTGGTACAATTACCGCGGCCACCTCGAGAACATCAGCAACAACCTCCTCCTCGGCGCCACCAACGACTTCCTGCCAGATGCAAGCACCCTCCAGATGATTGGCAAGGCCAAGGACCCCGTAGATGGCGACAAGATCAAGCCCGTACCTCAAGCAGCACGGAGCTTGAAGGAAGCGGGTATCAGGTGGTGCATCATTGGCGACAACAACTACGGCGAAGGCAGCTCCCGCGAGCACGCTGCGCTGGAGCCCCGATATCTGGGTGGCGTTGCTGTCATCACCCGGGGTTTTGCCAGAATTCACGAGACGAATCTGAAGAAGCAAGGAATGCTCCCTCTAACATTCGCTCACCCTGCCGACTACGACAAGATTCGGGATGGAGATAAGATCACGCTTTTGGATGTCGAGGAGGGAGAATTGCAACCCGGGAAACAGGTCACGATGGAGGTCGTCACGAAGGAAGGGTCGAGGTGGAAGGCGAAGCTGAATCACTCGTACGAGTTGAATCAGATCGAGTGGCTGCGGGCTGGCAGTGCACTCAACTACATCAAGCGAGTTGCCCTTGGACAGAGCGAATGATGCTGTAGTGGTAGAGCTTTTGTAAACGTCATCTCGAGGCGGCGTTTTGGGCATGATACATCAACTGCATATTTTGGTAGAGAATCAACATAAGCGCATTTGCATCGGCAATAATCTGAATCCTCGATCAATGTGTGTTACTTTCCCCACGCTGCGTTCTGGTCATGTTCTCCCTTGTGTTTTTTGTTCTACTATGCAGTACATCAAGCTTCTAATCTTCTTCCTTTAACGGCCCTTTCTAAACTCTCCTCATTGGACATCTCAGGTCAACATAATCTGCCAGAGTGGAAATCTCTCAATGGGCTCGCGATATCCAGCTACAAATCAGGAGCTCTGGAATCGTCATCATTCCACGCCCAGTCAGTCCCCGCAATCTTCCGTCTAATGCCCCACAATGCCGGAGCGAGCAGACCATATGACGAGGTTGGGAACTTACGGTCACTACTATTGGTGTCTGGAAGCAGCCGGACCACCGGTGAACACAATTGGGTCGGTCGTCGTAACCACGTGCGCGTGGCTCCCGACATCATGAGTGCCTTACATTTCCTAGAGTAGCCTCACGGGAAAACCCCTCCTCCTATTCACGGACTACTCCTGCTCACGGTCTTCTCCGCTGACTCGCGGGTAGCTCCGTGAACACTGGAATCTTGGCCTTGGCTTCAGTCTAACGGGTTTGGATGGTGATTTTGAGTGGCTGGACTGGCCCGAAAAGACGGAGCAGTCCATCGCGCTTCTCCGGTACAGCAGGACTGCTCCGTCATCCAAGAACATGACGGCCAATTCATCTTTCGATTGCGGGTCTGGGGAAGAGGAGACGAACGCAATAAGCTTACAGGTGCCATATTCCACAGCCAGAGAGCTGGGTGTCTGTGGGACACGCCAGAATCTGGGGTCGTTTCGGGGTATGCGGGGTAGGAAGTTGGGGTGAACATCCTGTTGTTTGCCTTCTGCAAGATCGAACTGGGCTATGCCCAAGTCTGGGCAACAAAAGACATCAAGTCGAGGGTGATTGGTGTCTCTTTCTGGCATGAAGTTTAAAAGAGGACAGACGACGGTTGGTTTCCAAAATTGTTTTCCCAGGGCCTGGAGACTTTCTCTTCATCGACTTCAGAGACTTTGCTGCTGAACTTCAAGTCCTTGGTTGTTCGCATAGTCGAGCCGTTGATTCTTATATCTCTGAGTCCGAAGACCCAAGGTTCGAGAGCTTCTCAGCACACGCTTTCTCGAAAACCCAACAGGCGTGCAAGATGGCCGCCCGCGAAGCCGAGACAAAGCAAGAAGCCATGCAGGCCACCTCAGACCACATCGACAGCACGCTTCCCGTTGGCGAAAAGGACTTCGTGTCTGAGAAAGACATCAATAGCGATGATCTGGGGATGTCCGAGGAAGAGTATGCCGCCGTTGAGAAGAGTCTTACGAGGAAGCTTGACTTCACGTTGGTACCGGTTGTTTGGATTCTCTATCTTTTCAACTACCTCGACAGAAACAACATTGCGTAAGTCTCAAATCGCGGCAACTGGTATGCTCGTGGGTTCTTAAACTAATCATCACTCCACTTTAGTCAAGCACGACTGAGCACCTTTGAGAAGGATCTTGGACTCACTGGCAACCAGTTCAATGTTGCTGTGTCCATCTTGAATATTGGCTATATGCTTATGCAGCTTCCAAGGTAAGTGGCCTTCTCTGTAACTCTCACGCATGATCACTGCTAACAATGGCGAAGTAACATGCTTCTTACCCGAACCCGACCATCTCTCTACATTCCCGCATGGACAGCTCTCTGGTCAATTGTCTCCGCCGCTACAGCAGGAGCAGGGAACTATACACACCTTCTCGTCATCCGATTCTTTTTGGGAATTGCGGAAGCTCCTTTCTTTCCGGTTGGTCCTGACACATACTTCCTCTTTGAATCACGCTGACCTATTTGGTTCAGGGTGCCATGTACCTTCTGAGTTGTTGGTATCCTCGAAAGGAGCTTGCATTTCGCACCGCTATTCTATACTCTGGCGTTCTCCTTGCGACGGCATTCTCGGGACTCATCGCAGCCGGCGTCCTCTCAGGTCTTGAGGGAGCTCGGGGTATCGCCGGATGGCAGTGGCTCTTCATCATTGAGGGTGCAGGCAGTTTCGCCGCGGCCATCCTTGGGGCTATGCTTCTCCCGGATTTCCCGGGCCAGAAGTCGGGCGTTGCGAAGTGGTTGCTCACCGATAAGGAGCAGAAGGTTGCGGTTGAGCGTATCCGGAGGGACAGAGTCTCGCTTCCGGAAGCCGATTCAAGTGTTTGGAATGGACTTAAGCTCGCTGTCAAGGATGCCCGAACATGGGTCTTCGTAAGTTGTTGCCTATCCGCGCTCGTTGTGAAAGAAACCTTAGAGATTAACACACATATAATAGGTGGTCATGCTTACGGCCAATCACAGCGCCTACGGATTCAACAACTTCTTTCCCACGATTGTGAAGGGCTTCAAGCTCGGCAACAACACCCTGACCCTGATCTTGACCGCGCCGCCCTATCTTCTCGCGACGGTCGTTGCCTTCCTAACGGCATTCTCTTCCGATCGTCGCAAGGAGCGCGGTTTCCATATCTCAGTGCCTCAGGGAGTTGCATGCATCGGCTTCATCATTTCAGTATCGACCATCAACAACGCCGCTCGCTATGTTGCTGCTTTCCTGTACATCTGCGGTTGCTTCTCGAGTAACGCAATGGTGTTCAGCTGGGCTAGCTCCACCCTGAACCAGACGCCTGAGAAGAGGGCGTGTGCGACAGCTATTATTAACCTGCTCAGTCAACTTGGCAACATCTGGAGCCCCTACTTCTTTCCATCGACAGATAGTCCGAGATACGTCATGGCAAACCTGCTGATGATGGCCTCATCCGCGCTGAGTATCGTTACTTGCGCTATCATGAAGGTCATGCTGACTAGAGCGAACAAGAAGCTGAAGGCAGAGGGAAGGGACACAAATCTGTTTACGCTCTAAGAGGGGTAACTCGCGGTAGCTGGCACAAAACGTCATCTTCAAAGTCTTGGACGTTGTAATGTACACGCGTGTATCGATGACTACAAATCCTGAATAATTGGTACATGTAGCTGAGCTTTTGAACCATGCATAGTATTTTGAATTCTGAACCGTAACAGCCCGTCAAATGAAATTCCTCACTTTGGCAGTCGCACACTCGTGCCGGAATTCCCGCGGACACGCGAACTCTTCCCGGCGTTCGGGGCCCGACGCGGGGTATGGGGCAATGTACTTCATCTCATGTTGATTCAAAGTTCCTACGTCACCGGCTGAAGACGGAGATTGAGTCCGACGCAAGAGCTTTGACGCGTAGATATGATAAAGCTAACAGGAGCTCTTATCCTAGTAAAAACGCACTGCATTGTGACTGGCATTGAGTGTACATGCGAAAGATGATTTGCTCGGACTATTCGCGACGCGAGATGGGCGAGTCGCATTTTGACGTCCGAAGGCCTGAATCCTGGCAGTGAGAGGACTAAGCCAAACTTCGGAGTACAGCTTCGGATACTATGAAGCATGATCAATAACGCAAATGATTGTTGCTGTAGTCGCGAGCTCGTCTTTCGCGTGGTAGAGGCACACTAGTTGCATTACGGAAACTCAACCTCATGTACCGAGGACTTATTACGCTTAATGTCACATCCGGCAGAACCTTATCATCAGACAAAATAAATACCCAACAAGATGACAACAATGAATTTCCCCTCACTTCATTGTACGGTACTCGACTAGACGTCCTGTTTCTTCACACTACCAGACCAACATGGCGCCCATCAAGAAAGACTTCGAAATCGCCATTATCGGCGGCGGAATCGCCGGAGTAGCCCTGGCCATTTCGCTCGTCAAGCGCAACGTCCCTTGCACCATATACGAAAAAGCGCAAGCCTTCGGCGAAATTGGTGCAGGATTGGGCATCACCCCGAATGCCACCAGAGCCATGAAGGCTTGCGACCCAGTCATATACCAGGTTTTTGACAGGGTCGCTCAACCAGACATTCTTTGGACTTTTTTCGACGGCTCAGATGAGAAGAAAGACGATGAGCCCATCTTCACCCTTGGAGACGCAGAAGCTGGCATCAGGGGCTGTCACAGGGCTCATTTTCTGGACGGAATGATTCAACACCTTCCAAAAGACGTGGCCAAGTTCAATAAGCAGCTAGACCGTGTTGAAGAGCCATACGGTCCTTCAGGAAAACTGAGAATGGTGTTCCAGGATGGTTCTACTGCCGAAGCAGACGCCATTGTCGGGTGCGACGGAATCAAATCTCGCACCCGCGAAATCGTCGTGGGAAGCGACCATCCGTCTGCGACGTGCGGATTCACGCACAAGCACTGCTATCGTGGCTTGATCCCAATGGACGAAGCTCTGGAGATAATTGGAAAGAAACGGGCAATGGGCTCGAACCTGTGGGTAAGTGATCCTAGATCTTCCTATGGCATGATCTTCCTGACTCAATCGCCCAGTCTGCCAATAAGCGGCATATTGTTACTTACCCAGTAGCAAATGGCACCATCCTGAACATAGTGATGCATTGCACAAGCGATGGAGACTGGCCCAGCACCACGAATTTTGTTCTACCAGTCGGAGAGGAAGGCTGTTATGCGGATTCTGAGGGCCTGTCCCCCAGATTACGACGATTGGTCAAGAGGATGAAGTCTGTCGACAGAGTGGGTGCAGTCCATACTCCATGACTACTTGGAGACACATTGAAAACCACCAAAACTGACAAAATCTAGTGGGGATTATTCGACCTCGGGGACCACCCCGTTCCGGCCTTTTCCAGAGGGCGCATCTGTCTCATCGGCGATGCTGCCCACGCGAGCACACCTCATCAGGGCGCTGGAGCCGGACTGTGCATCGAGGATGCCGCTACTCTGGCGTCTTTGTTGGCCGATGACCGAGTTGAAGGTCGGGATGACATCTCCGCAGCGTTTGCAGCATATGATCAATGTCGTCGGGACAGGGGACATCGACTTGTGGAGGGAAGCCGGCGGATTGGGGAGCTATATGAGGGTCAGACCGAGGTTGGAAAAGACTTCAAAGCTATAGAATATGAAGTCCGGACAAAGGCAAAGGACATATGGGAGTTCGACATCAACGAAAGCATCCATCACTGCCTGGGCGATTTAGAGAAACGTCTGGCCGTCAAGACAGGAGCGACAAACTATAGACAGGGGAACTTCCGTGCCGGTTTGTAGAGGATAGTATGGCATTACAACTTCAGCTATCGTTATTCGGCTCCATTTTGACGAAGTAATTCTATGATTAGTTTAACTTTTGATGTAGGTCGTCGCAGCAGGTTGGCCAGGACATCAAGGCCGACTCAAAGGGTACACATCGAAACCTATTGCTAGAGCAACCGAGCCTCTTAAAGCCGTGTTGAATCATTCTGTCAATTGTGCATCGCGAACCTCTCAAGACAATGACTAATTCGATTCCTTACTCGTGATAATTGCCATTGAGAGGTTGATGGGAAGGTGAGAAGAAATAAGATATTGCCTCAGCCGAGTGGCTAATCGCATGTAAGCTAGTGAGACAGTGTCTTGGATTCTATGGAGAATGTGGCAGCAGCTGCAAGGCAATTTCTCAAAGAGGCTACTCCAGAACGCGTCTCTCGACGCCACCTCTCCTGGTGGCAGTTGCCTGGTCGTTCCTTAAGTCAGCACTAGAACCATTGAGCGCATGATCGTCACACATAAAATCAACCTTTTCGAACGTCGACTTCTCTGCGGTCGATATTTGATACCATCACTCATCTACCGCCATCCCAACGACCACCATGGCGCCAGGAATCTTCATCGTGCCGGGCTTATATGAAAGCATCGCCACCTTCGGGCCGCTTGTCGACGAACTCAAGAAAGCCGGGTACCCCTCAATCCATGTGGGAACCATCACCAGCGGTGGCACCTCATCAAAACGGGAGCCTCGCGGGCTCACCATTGCCGATGACACGCAGGGTATCCGAACCGAGCTCGAACCGTTCGTAGACAGATGCGGAAGTGATGGCGTGATTCTAGTCCTGCATTCCGCCGGCGGCTTCATCGGAGCTGGCGCCATGAAGGGCCTGACCCAGTCAGCCTACGAAGATGAAGCAAAGAGGGGTGGAATTCGACAAATCGTCGGGATTACGGCCGCCTTTCTGCCGGTTGGATTTGAGCATCGGCCGTTGCCGTTTATGAAGATCGATGTGAGATGAGCTACCTTGTTCTCTGGTGGCAGTGGCTGACTCCTGAAAAGGAAGAGAAGGGAACCCAGGGCCCTGTTGATGATATGGCGTTCTTCAACGATATGTCCGCCGAGGCTGCCAAGCCGTGGATCGATGAGTTTGTGCATCATCCGGCGCATGGATGGGGCACGAAGATCGAATACGCCGGGTGGCACGACGTGCCTGTCGACTACATCATTTGTGAACGAGACCAGATCATTCCCATGCAGATGCAGGAGACGGTCGCGGCCGGTGCGGAGGCAAAGGTCTATCGACTTGATGCAGGGCATATGGCGCAGTTGTCTCGTACCAAGGAGCTTGCGAACCTCATCGTGGAGGCTATTCGCCGCATGAGTTAGCTGCCCGGGTGTAGCGGAGCGAAAGAGCGTTCATAGTCATACCATAAGTATCTACCCATGACCTCAAATTCATTGCACTTGAAACCTCGAAGGTGTTTTTGGATCAAACAAGTCAAAGATACAAAGTAGGAGGAAAAGGAACTCACAAGCGGGCAGAGGAGCAGTAAGCTTCAGCCATCAACAGTTACCTATGTACTTTGCTTAACCTCAATGGACCTGTCGAAGGAAAGATCATGGCCATTCCTGTCCTTCAGAGCCAGGTTGGCTTAGACGTCGGGGTTTCAATCGATCAACCAAGACGCTGTTACCAGCCGCTTACCTTCAAACTGAAGCGGGTTCGTAATTGGATTCCTTCAGTGAGACGTCGTGCAGAGTCGCCTCGATCCTTCCATGTCGTGTAACCCTATCCCCCAAGGCTTACCTTCCCATACAAGCAAAGATCTCCTCCGTCCTAAATGCCCAAGACTACGCTTCCTTGTCAACCCCGCGTGAACATCGTGCATTACCCCGAAATCTCGGTGCTGTTGCGCAAGAATGGCCGCAGTTGCACCGACGCCTCGTCATCCTTATGCGGAAGCAAGAAAGATATTACAATCAGCTCCCCTGTCACAAAACCAGACTTGATGGGTGTTATCTCATGTCTTAAGAATAATCACCATGCCTCAAAGTCATCCTGCCATAACTTACCTCATCTTGCTGATTATCCTGACAGCTTTTACCTCTGCATTACAAGATGCAAACGCCTACTGCCAGCTCCTCGAATCCCTCATACCCAACCGCGTAGCATACCCAGAGACGCCAATCTACAACGAATCGATCTCGTCATACTACTCCGGCCAGGAACGCGACATCCGGCCGGGATGCATCTTACAACCCGACACCGCCCACGAAGTCTCTCAGTTCATCAAGCTAATCACTAGGAGAGACGCAACATGTTCCCACGCACCCCCTCAATTCGCCATCCGGAGCGGGGGCCACATGATCTGGCCCGGCTCAGCCAACATCGACCAAGGCATCACCGTTGACCTGCGTAAGCTGAACTCTCTCGTATTGAACGAGGAAAAAACTGTAGCGTCGTTAGGGGTCGGTGGTATCTGGAGCGATATCTACCCACAACTCGTCCCTCACAATCTGACCGTCATGGGCGGGAGAGTAACCGGCATTGGCGTCGGAGGTCTTGCAACAGGTGGTAAGCTACACCAATATGATGATCCTTCCGACAGATGAACCGGTGCTAAGCTTCGTTCTCAGGCGGCATCCACTACCTCGCCCGCCGCCACGGCTGGGTCTGCGACAACATCCACACCTACCAAATCGTCCTTGCCAGCGGCGCCATCGTCGAAGCCACGGCGTCCTCCCACGCGGACCTCCCACGCGGACCTCTGGCTCGCGCTGAAAGGCGGCTCCAACAACTTCGGCATCGTCACCCGCATCGACGTGCCAACCTTCCCGATGGGCGATATGTGGGGCGGCACCGTGGCCTTTGAGTACACGAACGAGGTCCTGGAGGCGCATGCACAGGCGTTCAGCGACTTCATGAGTGCGGAGAACTTTGACGATGCTGCTGATATGGGCATGTCTTTGCTCTTCGACCAGGGCAACTACGCAGTCGGCGACGCGCTGTATTATGTCAAGCCCGTGGAGAATCCGCCTGTTTATCAGCAGTTCACGGCGATTCAGCCGCAGATTGGAAGTTCGCTGCGGATTGGGAATGCTAGTTCCATGACTTCGGAGGCGAACGGCCTTCTTCCGCCGAATACCACGCGGTAAGCTTGACATTGATTACCACTTCGCGTGCCTTGAGTTCATTTGGACAGTGCAATCGATATCGTCTACTCCTTCAAGAACGGCGACTCCAGCGTTTACTCGGAGATGTTCAGAACCTGGGAGGAAGGAACTAAGCTTTTAGCACACATAGAGGGGCTTCAGCTCGTCCTTCTCATCCAGCCCCATCCAGTGACCAACGGAACCAACTCGCTCGGGCTGACACCCGAGGCAAAAGACGAGGTGATGTCGGTTTTGACAGCAGCTTACACGAACCGGGAAGACGATGAGATGGTGCAAGCAGGGATGCAGAGCATCATTGACGCGCACAAGGACATGCTGCAACAGCGCGGACTTCTAATCCCTTTTCAATATCTTAATTACGCAGACATCACGCAAGATCCGATCGGAAGTTACGGACCAGAGGTAAAAGCGAGGCTGCAGGCTGTCAGCAAGAAGTATGATCCTGAAGGCCTGTTTCAAAAGAACGTCCCAGGTGGGTTCAAGGTGTTCTAGAGTGATAAATGGAAGTTCTTTTGGTAAAATTACTTTACGCTTAGGGTTATTTTACAAGAGTGATCGAGGAAGGCTAGACGGCTGATGCATCATGCAGCCTCTCACTTGGCCTCCTCCTTGGCCTTATTGGCGATCTCCTCCGCCTTCTTTCCCTTCGCCTCGAGGACCTTCTTGACCTCTTCCAGAGTCTCCTTGAACAACTTCTCTCCCTCCTCCTTGTGCTTGTCCGCGACTTCCCTCAATTGCTTCAATTTGGGAATGATCTGGTCGCCGTCAGGGATCATCTTGAAGTACTGATCCAGGCCACCGAAGCTTCCGCCCAATTGTGAGCCCTTAGACTTGGCCTTATCCACAGCGTCGCCAACATACTTCTCCAAGCCACCAAGGTCGCCAGAGTCGACAGCAGACTTGGCCTTCTCGAATACCTCCTTCGCATTGCCCTGCTTCAGTGCATAGGCGTTCTTCTCCAGAAGCTCCTTGACCTTGGGGTTCTTGTCGAGGTAGGGCTTCGCCTCCTCGAGTGCCTTCTTCCAAGCCTCGTCTCCGAGCTTCTTGACCTGCTGAGTCTTGTCCTCAATCAACTTGCGGGCTTTGTCGAAGTTGCTAGCGGTAAGGCCTCCCGCAAGGATGTCCTTGATCTGCTTCCACGTCTCATCGACCTGCTTCTTCGCCTCAGGGCCGTATTGGTCGCCCAGCTGCTTGAGCTGGTCAATGTTGCCACCGAGCCTCTCCTTCAGCTGAGGGTGATTGTCAACAATGTCGGAGATGGCATCGCCGGACAGGTTTGCAATCTTCTTGGACAGGTCGGCGAGAACCTCGCACGCCTTGTGAACGGCCTCCAGGCTCAGACCGGCCTTGGCGACCTCCTGGAACTGCTTGTAGGCATCGTTGATGATCTCGTCGGCCTCCTCCTTGTGGTTCTTGCGGACAGTTTCGAAGTCGTCAAACGCGGAGTCGACGTAGGAGCGACCGCCGGGGATCCAGCCGACGTAGGAGTAGGCGAACTGCTTGATGGAGTCGATGGCTTGGTCGGGCGACGGGGTGTTCTCCTGCAGCTTCTTCGCGGCAACCTGGTACTTCTTCTCTGCCTCCTTGGCGGCCTTGTTGACCTTGGATGCGGTGCGTCCGGCGGGGGTGAAGGAGTAGATTGCGTAGAAGAGACCGGCGCCTGCGAGTCCTCCGGCGACGCCAGCTCCAAAGTGTGAGCTGCCTCCGCTTGCGCTCGCTGATGACGAGGTAGTGGTCGTTTGGAAGCGAAGCTGTTGACGGGGAGCTCGAAGAGCACGAGTAGCTCTAGGGAGCGTCGAGCGAGCGAGGGGTCTTGCGGACATCATTTTGGCGTCTGGCGAATGACTGGCAGACTGGTAGGTGTTTAGTTACAAGACAGCTTTCGGACGCCGAGAGGATTGGAGTTGATGCTGAAGAGAGTACCGAAAAGTTCGTAGCTGTGTGAGAGGGCCTGAAAAAGCAGGGAGAGAGCTGGTTTTGAGGGATGGACAAGGCGACGAACTTGCAATCTACCCCTGGTGGCTGGCTACCCTCGGGACTGTTGGCGGCAGGCAAAACAAGGAAGATCTGGGCTTGTCCCACGTGTCTTGGAGACGCAATTGAAGTCAAAATGACGAGCGGAAGCAGCTGAAGGACAGGGGGCCAGCTGCTGGGCTGCCTACTTCAGCTGCACTATGAGCTGCAAATCGACTGGGCTGGAGGGAAAGCTCCGGACTAGTGACGTCGATGACGCATCAGTGAGAGAGGGAGCTACCTACCTAAGCTCCTTCAGGTGCCCTGTTGGGGTAGCTACCCCGCATGGTGGTATTCATCTGCCCTAGCGGGACGAACTGCCCCTGAAAACCCCCCGAATGAGGTCCCTGAGGGCTACCTGTCACCGGGAGATCGGCGATCAGCTGCTGCGGGGAAGGCTCTGATTCGCAGGGGATGCCCTCGTCATCGTGATGCAGCTGCAATATTGCTGTGCTCCATTTGTATGGAGCATCCGTCAAAACGATTGAAGGCAAATAAAAGGGAATCCGGGTGTTCAAGAAAGTTTACGTAAGTTTTCTGTCTGTACGGCGTATGTTCTTTGTACCGACTTATGCCTACTGAGGACGAGACTATTAGGGACAGAAATAGGCGATAATACCTGAAACAAAACGAACGAGAAAGGCGACAACGGCGACAACGGCGACAACGATATGAATATAGACTATATGAAACCAGTAGAAATACTCGCTGCAGCACACAAGAAATAGCCAGGCACACAGAAGTGTAACTAGGTGAAGGTTGCTTCGCATATTGTGCCCATTTCAACAAATTGAGCTTGAATATCACCTGCGTCTACCGGAGAAAAGCAGAGCCCCTCCATCATCATCAGAGTCCTCGGCCTCTTGGTCCGCGTGACCTGCAACGCTCCAAGAATCATCATCGACAATCACTGATATCTGAGAGCGGCACGATGGTCCTCCTTCAGCAATTGATAAAAGACTCATCACGGAAGCCAGGTCGGTGCCACGAACAGACGTGCTAGCCAGAGACTGGAACGTCTGCTGATATGAAAAGGTGTCTGAGTCCCATCTCTTGTGGTCAGTGACCTTCTCCTCCAGAGCCGAGAGCGCATCCCGCCGGACACCTCCCAATACTTTGTCAATCAGACTATCCTTCTCTTTGGCCCAATCCGGGCTTTCATCCGTGACGTTGGGAACAATCCAGTTCAGGTAGACGTTCTTGTGTCCCCGGCGAACTTGTATGCCGCTTCTGTGAGCAGCAAAGTAGTATTCGCAGAGGCGGCACGTTGGCTTGCTACACCCGATATACCGAAAGTCCCGGAAAAAGGGGATGGAAGTAGTTCCGCTGGGATGTTGTCCACACAGCCAATCAAGAACGAGAATCTCGCAATGAACAATGGGGTGGAAAGATTCTCTTGCACACTGCTTAAAGATGAGATCATCTAGTCCGCAGCGCTGGAGTTCTTCAGCATATCCCTGGTACTTGGCTAACTCTGCAGGTTCCCAAACCATGCGGCCGATAATTGCCTTGGCCGTCCGGAGGCTTCGGCGCTTTGCAGCTGTCATTGTCGAAGGTTGAAGACATGTGATTGGATTCGGCAAAGGATTGCTAGACGGCAGGAAAACGATGTTGAAATTCTCGAATAGCTCTGGGATACGTCTGCGAGCGATGATGATGGCGCGGACCATACCTAAGTATGAAGCGAGTCGCCCGACAAAGTGGGAGAGGTCACACCATCTTTCAGATGTAGAAGATGTGACAGTGGCCCTACCGGAGCAATTATTACCGTCTCGGCTTTTATGAGCAGTTAAGGTTTCCTTCAGATCGCGTAAAGCATTTCCAAGCGAGAGACCTAGCGTACCACAAGACACATTAGATCAGGTGTCCAGCGAGGTTGAGGGTGAATGCTTACTTTCATGAGAGTTATTGGCATTGCAGTCGACGATACAGGCCACTACAGATTTCATCAGCTTATCGCGATACGCCAGGATTCGTTTGTCGTGGAACTCCAGAATCTGTTGAAGCGCCCTTTGAAACAATGGGCTGTGAGGATCGTCTTTGACTTGATCTAAGGTCGCGGTGCCCGTATCATTGAGAAGTCGGCGAACAAAGTTTGTGGCCTTATTGGGGTCTCCCACAGTCTGCCTGTTGTAGGCAAAGGTGTAAAGCAAGCCGTCGTAATTGCGAATGGTGATTGCCAAGGCAGTGACTGTGTCTCCAAATGGCACATTATCGCAAACCTGCGCCAACTTGTTTATGAAGCACTCGAGGACAATGTTTGGGTTGTCACTCGGTTCATATCCTTCGTTATTAGCTCGCGTCTGGCCATTGACCTTGCAGGCTTCGATTAGACTGGAAAGGAGAACAAGCGCGTCGTAGAATCGCCTGAGACGGTTGCGAAATTTGGTGCTGATTGTACCAAGACCATCAACGTAGGTCATGACTGCTTATTGAGTGTCAAACTGAGCTGTGTTTCCAAATGGTTAACTTGTGGGTTATGATCATACTTGGTTGCCTACCCTCCTTGACAGGGCTTGTGGACTTTCCTCGAGGTCTGGCCATTGCAAGATCGGACTGGAGCTCACTTCTGGGGCCTCCAAGGAAGACGTGATGGGGTTTGGTTGAGAAATCTGAAAAATGGTGGAGGGAATTCCAGGAGATTGACGAGGTGTTGGGGGTCTGCTCCATGACCTCTCCTATCGTACTCCTAATCGTTACTCAGGTCGCTGGCAAAGCCGCAATGAATGAACTCGGAATCCGTGTCTTCGACGAGGAGTCTGTGTTTCTCGCAATTTCGCACTCCGCCAAAGCGTGTTGTTGGTCGGGTCAAGTGCTCAGGTCGGTTCGCTGTCCAGGCCAATGAGTCGTCGTGCCGGTCGCAAATTGGGCCATTGGGCATGCAGCTGCGCCTCTTCACAAGCAGGAGGCCAGGAGCCACACCCTACGATTTAGGGTGACCTGCGTCGAGAAGCAATTGGCTGGAGATCCGGGCATGGTGGGTTTGGTGTTGGAGGTTCTTGCAGGTAACAACTGGCGAACCACCATGCTGACCCTTCATCCAGGTTCGTGATGAGGCATCCGCACGGTACCGACCAGTATCGTGGTCTTCAGTCGGAGGCCGACAAGGCGTGATTCAACGGCACATACCCAAGCCTCATTTCGAGGTGTATCGCATGAGATGGCTGGTAGTTCGGCCATGTCAGGCTTGGACGCAGATTTCTTTCAGATTCGTGCCCCTATCATTGGGCTTAATTTCACCGACGGTCAGAACTTGGGAGGCTTTTGTGGGATCCACTCGCGAGGTAAGTTGTGTTGGTCAGGTCTAGTCATGGCCTTAACTTTCAAGCATACCTTCCTTACCTGCTAAATGATTGTTTCATCGGTTTGATGGATTTTATTGGCCTGATGAATATTAGCTTCGTCGGCCTCCAAGAACCGCGCAGAACGGAATCGAAGTAAGAACAGAAATCAATCGGAAAGAGCAGCATTGAGTCAATGATCATTATAAAACGGGCAGTTTTCCACCAAGACATCAGAACATACTTCTCACACCTTTCTTCATCAGAATCTTCACGTGCTATTGCACACCTACAAAGACTAGCATCGCCTACCTTCCTGGTCGGCCTCCTCATTTATCCCACGAATCCTTCATGAAGTCGACGTAAGTGACACATAACTACAGCAGCATTGAGGCCATCCCGTATGTGGGAGGGTATGACAAGGAGTCCACGTAGCTAATGCCGGAGGCCGATGCTGAAGAATCATTCTTCATCGAAGTTGACCCTTGATATTCACTTGAAGGTTGGAAAGTAGTCAGGAGGCCACGCCGAAGTAGCCCAGAGGTGAGAAAAAGACGTCGACTACCATCTTATAATGTGTAGTTGACTTTGAACACACGCACAAGATACCTTGACCCTATCCGAACTGGCCGTGCCGGCGACCTGCATCCCTCCTCCGACTAGCCCGCCCAACATACAACATGCATCAGGCGTCGTCATACTACCAGCAATACAATTACGCTAGTTCGGATGATCCAGGGGGTGGGCAAGGACAACGAGAATCCGACTATAACTACGAGCATTATTACGATTATGGTGATTCCTTCGGATACTCAACCACTGCAGACTACCAGTACAACAACTCTGCCTACTACGCCGAAACCGCACCGCTGGAACAGTAGGATTCTGGGGGTGGATCGTTGCATGGGACCAGTTCCCATCATAACCAAGGACAATCACAGGTTTTGCCTACGTGGGACGAAAGAGACGCAGACATGCATGCTCAACGAGTAATGAATGAGGACAACACTGTGGGTGTTTCGCAACATGACCCCAAGCGACCATATGCTTGTCCAGTGGAGGGTTGCGGGAAGAAATTTGACCAAGGACACAAGCTGAAGTAAGCCTACCACCGAGCCCGTTGAAACAACCATTGTCATTTTTTCTAACGCGAACTTGAAGCAAACATGAGAAGAAGCATTCACTGCCTTACAGATGCCAAATCTGCCCGGAGGGCGCTGGTGAATCGCCCAGGTTCAAGACGGCCTTCTCCGACAACAAGGACTTGAAAAGACACATACGCGCCCATCATCCAAACGAAGCCGAAGGTCTCGGTGTGCCGGACGAAAGCGTGGAGTGTACCGTGTGCGGCGAAGTGTACACCCGGCAAGACAATTACAGGCGCCACCTGGAGGAGGGACGTTGCAGACCACGTTGATGGCGGGCGGTTGAGCTGACACTTGTCGCACCGTCCACACTTGGTCAACCGATTCTGGGGTTCTTCCATGTTGTTCCACCCGTTTGTCTTTCTCTTGATTTGGTCGTGTTTTTGATGTCCCTTGTATTGCTGTATCTTCGTCTTGTTGCTAGTTGATGAGAGCATACGTCGTTCACATTTCTTATTTATCTACCCATCAGATTCCGTCTATTGAACCCGTAAAGCTAGTCATCGTCTGAAAGTAGGCTTGCAGTAACCGACTTCCATTTATCCTACAATAGGCCCGTCCCAATGATGCGAGGATCATTTCTCCGTGATCGATACACTTGGGCTGCCTGTTTTCTCCATGTCCACATACTAGCGCAATGTCGCGATACACAAAATCGGATACCACGGCAACGAGTCAAAAATGTTGCCAAGAAGACCGGAAACATATCATGATGTCTGACATTTCAGAAGGAGGTGTTGGACTTGTCTTCGCGTGGAAGGATGGTGTCTCATGCAGCCGCGACCTCATTGGTGGGGGAGGAATGATGGCAAACATCGTTCAAACGGATGCCAAGATTTCCAAATACCATGAGCCGGAAACGGATGTGTTTTGTAAACACAATCGCGACTTGGTGAAGCATGTGCATCGTTATGCGCCGAAATGAGATAATCTCAACAAATAAGATTCGGGAAAACAACATAATATCAGCGTGTTAAAAGCTTGTGATGCGTCTGTTAAAGACGTCTGGGGTCTCTCCAGCTTTCTCTCATCTCAATCACACCTCATCTCCGCAGGCCACGGTTCAGAACTTTCATCAAGATGAACTGGATCGCATCTCTCACACTCACACTCGCCGCACTGCGGCAAGTGGCCGCCACGAACTCGACGTCATGCACGCCGAGGCTGATGAGCTACTGGATCAACGCCAACGCCTCCCTCGGCGAGGTTACATCTGTTGACGCAGGAGGTGCCTTTGAGGAGATCAGCGACGTCGCGTATCCCGTCAATGTAACCAACCTGCCGAGTCTCTGTGCCGTGACCTTCGTCGCCAAAACCGGAGACGGGAACGCGACGTACAAGTTCGGTCTTTTCCTCCCGGACGACTGGAACAGCGACATCTTGACCGTCGGCAATGAAGGCTTCGACGGTGGCGTCAACTGGCCTGCCATGGCAGCTGGCGTCAAGTACGGCTTCGTAACCGTCTCGACTGACGGAGGACATAACTCTACTGCAAGCAACCTCACCTGGGCCCTGAATGATGAGGACAGGCAGCTGGACTTTGGCTTCCGCGCTCTCCACGGCTCGTATCAGCTGGCCCTGAGAGTCATTGAGCGGTATTACACACTCCCCCCCGGAAAGTCATACTTCGCCGGCGCTGGACAGGGCGGTCGCCAGGGATTGAAGGCCGCACAGCACTACCCGAGGGACTTCAATGCTATCCTCGTCGGCGCACCGGCGTGGTGGCAGACTGCTCTGCAGAGCTGGAGGATCTCTCGCGGCTCTAAGAACGGCGCCAACGACACCAAGATCCTCACTGAGGAGAGCCTCAAGGTTCTCGGCGACAACGTAAGAAAGCAGTGCGACGCTGCGGACGGAGTTGAGGATGGCATCGTCAGCGACCTCGCCACTTGTTACTTCGACTTCGACCTCTTTACCTGCGGCAAGGACGGCGTCGATGCGTCGGCATGCTTAACCGAGGAGCAGGTCGACCTCGCCAAGGTCCTGTACGACAACTACGAGGTCGACGACGAGCAGGTCTTCACCGGTCTGAGCCCGTCGTCCGAGTACGAGTGGACTTCTGTCGTCGGCGACAACGATACCGATGTCAACGAGGAGGCCCTGGGATACTTCCAGAACTTCCTCTACAGTGACCCCGAGTGGGATGTGTCAAGCTACAACGACTCTGTCCCTGCGTACGCCAACGAGACCAACCCCGGCGAGCTGGACGTCAACGACTTCAACCTGACCGCGTTCGCTGCCCTCGGCCACAAGATCATCATGTACCACGGACTGGCTGATGGCGTCAACCCCCTCAACGCCTCCATCTACTTCTACGAGAGTGTTGTCAACGCCACGGGCGGTGACGTCGAGGCCACGCGCAGCTGGTTCCGCTTGTTCCTCGTCCCGGGTCTGGGATCCAAGACCACCAGCGTCGACGCGCCGTGGTACATCGGCGGTCCTGGCCAGTGGGAGCAGCTTGTCGATGGTGAGACGGCAACGATTGCTGGCTTCAACAATGCGTCGACTGATGCTCTTGCGGCGCTTGTCGCATGGACAGCTGCGGACACTGTTCCGGAGTCGATCATCGCGACGACGTGGACCAACTCAACGGATCCTTCAACCGAGGTACTGAGGCAACGTCCGATCTGCCCGTGGCCTGCGACGCAAAAGTACAATGGCGAAGGCGACCAGTCCAAGCCCGAGAGCTTTTTGTGCTAGAGCTTGACGAAGCTCGATTGAGCAGAGGAATTCCAAGGGATGAGAGCTAAGATGACGGTGTTTGTTTACTGCCAGAAGCGGAAACGGTGATGCGGGTCCAAAAAGGCGTACGGTATAGGTGCATAATGTTTAATGAAGTGACATGCCTCAATGCAATACTGTTTAAGACAATCGCTGATGTCACGTGGGCTCGTGTGTGTTTGCTGACATGAGCGACGCGTCGATAACTTAGGGCGGGGCATTCTCTCTCTTGCCCGTGACACTGATCCTTGTTGCCTCCAGGCGCTCCTATCCTCAACGCATCGTTCCCTATAGGCCTCAAATAGCGAACGAAGATATGCAATTGCTACTCCAATCTAGAGTCTCTGTTCGCATCTTCCGGTCGGTTTCTTCGGATCAATGACGATGACGACATCACAACCACCAGATTCGCCGCTCGCCGAGCAGTCCGACGAGGCACTGCTGGAGGATGCTGCCCTGCTAGAAGATGCCAAGGCCATTTCGGAGCATGGAACGCTGAAATATTCATTACTGGGCCCTTCACTGACGAAAGCCGGGCAAGACTCAGTCGATCAGTCCAAGGTTGGTGGTGCACATGGTCATCGTCGGCTCTGAAACGTACGCTGACCGTGCTGTGTGCCAGGTTTCCGAGATCATCTACAACGCCTCGAAAGGATCCAAATTCTTCAATCGAGAAGAGGAACGAGACAAAACCCTTACCAAAAAGATCGAGCAAATCCTCGAGAAGAAGCGCCGCCTGGAGAAGCTTGACCTCAGCAGAGACCTGCGCCTCGCCGACCAGCTTATTACCCAACTCGAACTCTCCCGCGACCTCTCCCAATACATCGTCCATGTCGACTGCGATGCCTTTTACGCTGCCGTCGAACTTCTTGAGCGACCCGAACTGAAGGATGTGCCGTTCTCCGTGGGTGCCGGCGTCTTAACAACCTGTAACTATGTCGCAAGGAAATACGGCTGTCGGAGTGGCATGGCCGGCTTTGTCGCTAAGAAGCTTTGCCCGAGCTTGGTGATGCTCAAGCCCAATTTTGAGAAATACAATGCCAAGGCACACGAGGTTCGGGAGGTTTTGGTGGAATACGACCCCCGGTTCGAGAGCGCCAGTATCGACGAGGCGTACCTCAACATCACCGAATATTGCACGGAGAAAGACATTAGTCCTGCAGATGCAGTTGAGCAGATGCGTCGCGAGGTACATGAAAGGACGAACATTACGGTTTCGGCTGGTATCGCTGCCAATGCGAAGCTTGCGAAGATCTGCTCCAACATGAACAAGCCTAACGGGCAGTTCGTGTTGCCCAACGATCGGACCGAGATCATGAACTTCATGGCGAAACTCCCACCGCGGAAGGTCAATGGGATTGGGCGCGTTCTGGAGCGACAGCTGGCCGAGATTGGCATTAAGACTTGTGCCGACATCTACCCATATCGACAATTTCTCAGGCAACTATTCGGAGAGAAAGCGTACGAGTTCCTCATCAATGTCTACCTTGGTCTCGGGCGCACACGGATACAGCCAGCAGAAGAATACGAGCGAAAGAGCGTCGGCACGGAGAGCACATTTCGGGACATGTCGGACCCTCAGCAGCTGAGGGAGAAGTTGAGGTGGACGGCCGATGAGCTGGAAAAGGACATGAAGAGGGCGGAGTGCAAAGGCCGGACGTTGGTGCTGAAGGTCAAGCTGCACACGTACGAGGTCTTCACACGACAAGTCGTATTGCCAAGAGCTATTTGTCTAGCCGATGATCTCTATCGTTTCGCTCTACCCATTCTTGGCAAGCTCGAAGAGGAGATGCCGGAGATGAAGCTACGACTCATGGGTTTGCGGTGCACGCACCTCGTGAGCACCAAGAAGCCCGACACCATGGCATTCTTTGGTTTCCGGTCCCGCAAGTCAGAACTGGCTGGGTCTCCAGAGAAGAAGGGCGCTATTGGGAACCCAGGAAGCACTGTTAGACTGGACGAAGATGGATGGGAAATGTGGCCGGAGGAGGAACTATTGCGGCTCGACGACGATCTCGCCTTGCAGGGAGAAGGCCCCGAGGAGTCGGACGCGCGAGTGACGGACGACGACTCGACCCCCGTGCGTAGACATGGCAAAGAGATTGCGCCGAACCCCACTAAGGTAGACGCGCCGGTCGAGGAGGACATGTGGGACTGTCCAATTTGCAACCGTCCACAAGCACCGGACGAGAGACAGTTCAACGAACACGTCGATCTATGTTTATCGAGGCAGACAATCCTTGAAGCAGTGCAAGAAGATGCTCCTCAAGCAACAGGGTCGAGGTCGGTGACGCCAGACTTGAAGAAGGCTAAACCCAGTGGAGAGAAGAAGCGTGGTCGGCCGCCCGCGAGGCTCTCGAGTAACGATCCTCGACAAAAGAAGCTTTGCTTCGGATAATGAACTTCCATGAGACTAAACAAAATGATACCCATATTCAATGTCCCTGAAGCAACAACGTCCATGTGGTTGGTGGAGACTTTCAGCGCTTGCTGGATGTGAATCGGGTTCTCCATGTCAGAGGCTTGCACCTGACAGAGCCCCAGAGCCTTTGTCGTTATCGGCGACTGCAAGGGATACGTGCGGTCAGACCGTCTTTAACCCCGCAAATGTCAACACCGAACGATGCTATTCACTAGACATCTCAACGTCGAGGTGGCAACATGGACGACGTTTCGCTTCAGAATCCTGCGGCTTATTACTCCCTGGTGGGCTAGCGTGCGATGGGTCGAACGTGGCGCTCCTAGTTCGCGGTGGTCAAGCTCTCCGTAGCCCAATGAAATGAGCGGCACCGAGTCATCCCGAAAGAACTTTTACAGGCCAACGGTGGGATTTCAGTGATCGACAGGAGTTTGCTTGATCTTGCGGCACATGGCCTGCCGTTGTGAAGCCATGAAGGCCAAATTGGTGAGATCTCAGACTTCGAAATCTGTGCGTTTATCGAGCCTAATGGATTTCATTGTCTTCGAAAGTTGAGTTCACCCGGAGGCGCCCCGTTTCAATTTACGTCAGCCTGGCTGTCGTCCGGTTTTCTGTCTCTCTTCCACCTCCAGACTGAGGATGACGATGATTCAAGCCAACATTACCGCGCGACCTCGCCGCCACGGCGCTGACAACCGTTGGTCGAACTCACTGTCTCATAGACCCTGACTTTCAGCTGTCAATGTAGCCTTTCTCCGATACCGTGTGGACGAAGTGAATGCCCTGTTTGCGGTGTCGGACGCTATGGGCGGTTCTTGGGATGTCCAAACGGTCACATTTCCATCTCCCTTGCGTCGCTGGTCAAGTCGGAAAAAGAGGAAGCGCGGTTCCATCCAATGGCATATCATCAATCACCTGCCGCCATCTCTGTCTCCCTGCGCTCGCTCCTCCTTGCGCACCGTGGCGAGCCAAAACCAAAGCTCTTGCAGCTCGTCCGAGTTTCTCATCACGAACCATCTCTGGCTTCCGCTGTCTGTGGCACACTATCGCAGCCTCATACATGGAAGGCTCTGTGCTTTAACGGTTGTGAGAGGTCAGATCAATTCCGCCGATTGGACCGACTGTTCCGTTCAGCAACTCACGACAAGCCTCCAGCGTAAGGGCTCCCCTAGAGATCTGCAATCACGGCTCTACTCATTAGTATCCCCTTGGCAAGCTGACTGGCTGAATCGCCAAAAGCTAGCCAAAGGCACGATGCTTTCGTGCGCCAGCTAGACCCAGCGACCGGCTCTAGTTAGCGCCCGGAAGACACTTCACCCATTGACGCTAAGCACCACCGACATTCCCATGCAGGAAAAGCTTATGCGACCAGAGATCCACACTCTGGACCGTCAATGTCGTCCGTCTAAAGACTCTGCAGGCTCGCCTTCGGAGGCAAGGGACACAGCGCCGCCGAAGGGATGAAGCCGCTGCCCTGCATACAGGTTTCACTCAAACGGCCCCCAGCGCGGGCCACAGGGTCTAGCCACGACTTTCAGGCCAGGAACCAACTGTCGACCTGTCTCCAGCATTCGCCCTGCCACCCTGCATCTGAAGTGTTTGTGAGATGCGATCGGCAGTCCTAATAACAGCGCTATTGTTGTCGCCAGCAAGGATCTACAGGACGGTGTGCCGGTGTCGTCTCCGCCTTTGGTTACCGCGCAAAGGCATGATGACATACTCCAACAGCCCCCGAAAGGATTTTGCGCTGTGAATCATGAGCGACTGGCATTTACATTCCACCGAAAGGTTGTTTCCGCGACCCTGCTTGCATTCCAACATATAAGTCTATCCTCAAGCCTTACCTTGGCATGGTCTCGGAATTTCTTCATCACGCTCCTTTCGACTCTAATGTGACGGACTAGAAGCGACCTCGACCTCACATGGTGCAACCCGTCAACTTCGAACAACAGAAACCATGGATAATGGAGTCGCAGCCACGATCACACCCTCGCCCACGTCGGCAGCAGTATCAGCGGCACCAACTCTCAACGCAGAACCAGCTGCCCTGTTCTGGCTCGCCTGGGGAGGGCTATGGACAGTCTTGGTGCTCAGCGGAATGGCATTTCTCTTTGTCAACCGCAAAATGCCGTTTTTGAGGATCCGCGGCCTGGCTTTGTCGTTTGGGGCAGTTACCATGCTCCACCTCTATTGGATTTCAGTACAGATCGGCCTCGCTATTGGTTCCTATGTGCCTGATGGCGCCGAGTTCTGGGTAATGGGCCTCTATCTTCCTTTCGGCATCGCTCTCTTTCACGCCTCGAATAGCCGCTTCCTCCACGTCGCCAAGGCGCAGAGGAGATATGCCGGCACATCGGGAGTTCTGTCCCAGCCCGAACAGAAGCCGTGCGACGGCAAGGACAAGACGCTCGTGGGACGGTTCCGAAAGCTAGACTACACCACCAAGATGCTCGCCGTCGTGTGCACGGGCATGGTGCTCCAGGTACGTAACGGAACAAGCAGTGGACCGTGCCTTGTCAGATTTGGAAAACACATGGCTGACATGAGTTTCTCGTCAGCTGCTTCTCACTGTCGTGATGTGGCTCGTCTCACGCAAGTACCACCCTTGGTTTGGCATCCCCGGTACCGAGGCCAAGGGCACCGAGGCAGAGCAGAAGGTCGAGAAGGGGAGAGGTTGGGAATGGTGGCCTTCGGTCTTTTGGCAGTTCCTATGGGCCTGGATCGTCGCGCCCTTCATCCTCTGGAGATCACGTGGCATCAATGACACCCAGGGGTGGCGACTCCAGACCATTGGATGCTGTATCGCGAGGTGAGTGGCATTCACGACTAGCGTTTTGCGCGGCCCTCTTCCCTCCGGCTCACACTAACAACCTCAGCCTACACGCTACCCCTATGTGGCTTATCGCCTTGTATGTTCCAGCCATGGCACCTGTCAATCGATACTTCATCCCCCCTCAGTGGTATGTATATGAAGCATCACCCGTGCGCTCCATCCCACGATACTCACACTGCATTCAACCAGGATCTGCCTTTCAATCACCTTTATCGAAATCTTTGCCATCTTCATTCCTTGTTGGCAAGTCATCAAACACAAGTCCCTTCGCCAAGAGACTCTCGAGTCCATCGCCATCTGGGAAGCCAAGAACCAGCAACGCGACAGAAGAAACTCCACTATCACAGGCTCTACCAAGGTCGGCTCACATCTGTCGACTGGTTCTACCTGGAAGTCTCTCGCACAACTTGAGAAGGACACAAGTCAGTCCGAAAGCATCTACACAATGGGTGCCCTCGAGTATGTCCTTGACAAGAACCCCGAGCCCCTCAGGAAGTTCTCCGCCCTCAAGGATTTCTCGGGGGAGAACATCGCCTTCCTCTCCGCGGTTGGGGAATGGAAGTCTTCCATCCCCACCACTCCCGGTTCGAACAAGCAGCGCTCCATGGAGCTCACTCGTGAGCGCTTCAACCGCGCGTTGCGCATCTACACCGAGTTCATCAGCCCTCGCCACGCCGAATTCCAGATCAACATCGCGTCACAAGACCTCAAGAACCTCGAGGACATCTTTGAGGACGCCGCCCGCATTCTCTACGGCCATCAGACAGAACGCTTCAGCGACCCAGTCGTGCCTTTTGAAGACCCCAACTGGGCCAGGCCTACTTCATCTTCCATTGCCTCCGAGACATATAGCATGTCAGATGTCGCATCTCAGACACCAATTGCAGACCGCGCACAGTACTTCGGTGCCATTCCCGAGAAGTTCACGGCCGGCGTGTTCGATGATGCCGAGACGAGCATCAAGTATCTCGTATTGACTAACACTTGGCCAAAGTTCGTCAAGGAGAGGAGGTATTCATTGGACTCGGAGGATTCGCGGGAGTCGAGGGACACTGTGGAGACATTCAACTCACAGTCAACACTTCACAGGGTGGTGAGGTACTTCAGGGCCATGAGAGTGTAGCATGGGCGCACCGCACAAAGCATTTGTTCTTTCGTTTACGCTTCATGATGATATCCCAGTTTTTTGTCATTCATACCACTTTGTAATTCATGTCAATCATAGAAAACAAGACAGTAAAATATCATGATACCAACGTTCACATCCACATCCATCTCCACCATCGTCATGTCTCATGCTGCGACGTGCCTTGCGAAGATCATTTACCCTGCAAAGTTTTCAGACTGTGGCTCTGCAAGCCACAAATTCTTTGTCATGCAACTGCCGCTCCTCTCAAGTCATCAGTCGCGTGGCGAACGTTTAGATTTACGATGGTCACGCCCCCGGGCGCCTCGAGCACAAAGCCCGTTGGCGTGCAGAGTCAGGAACGAGGTGGCTGGTGTGAGGGGAGTCGAAGCCCAAATGAGCGTTGAATGACGCAAACGGACTCTTTATGTCTGCTTTGGGATGCTGTTGCGAGAAATGCCCAGCCACATAGCCAGTGGCTTCAAGCGTTGGGAGGCGCTCTCTGTTCAACTATGAAGAGCTTGTGGGGTGCGGCGTCTACTGTGATGCTAGTGCGGGAGGTTCCGGATGGCGGTGAGGTGGGATCTGAGGTTATCTCTCAGTCTCTCGGCAGTGTCGAAAGGAGGCACACCGGGAATGGAATGGTTTTTGGTTTGAGAGTGAGAACCCTTGAGTCTAGATCTCGATGGAGCTTGTTTGAAGTTTGCAGTTTGGAATCTTTAAGGCTGAATAGTCCCCGGAATGGGGATGGACGACGGCTTTACGACACACGTTCCTGAATCCTGTGAGACATGGCCAAGATATTTCGGCCGTTATGTTTGATAAGCTTTGCGGGTGACACAGAACCCGGGCCCTAGAGTATTTGTAAATACCGATCTTCCCCTCGGACCTCCACGGTGTTCCTGTAGGTCTGCAGTTCGCACGCAAGACGGACGTAAGCCACGTGACCGACAATGAGAGGTGTGCTTCCGCATTTGGACGAGGGCCTGATATCACCATTCCCATTTCCGGACAACCATCGAAGAGACTCGGAAAATTGGACAAGTTCTGACTCTGTCATTCTTACTAAGGACGCCGTTGGCACGTTGCAGTGCTTTGCTTGCTTTTCCTCCCCCGCATTTCGCCGCACTTGCTGATCCGGGGTAGAAAACGCGGGGGAGGAGGACGCAATCCCCCACATTCCGCCTGGACCCCTGGATCGTGACAGGGCGCTGTGATAGGGCGTCGTTGGGGGATATACCGAGGGGATAAAAGTGTGATGCAGATCCTTCAGGTGAGTGTTGGTGGCACGGGACCTGGAATCTGGGGAAAGGGGCATAGATCCGGGGAAGGATGACTTGATTCGTCGATGGAGGTGATACATGTGGGATGCCGGGGGGGTTGTGTGTCGTTGATCTAGACTTGAGTTCGTCCCAAGGTGACCCGAGATGAGATGTTGATTGGGTTGGGATGTAAGCTTGGTAAGCTTAGAAAGAGAGTTAGGTGAGTGTTTGGTCATCATCATTGTGATGAATTCCTGATATCGCGGGCTGCATTCACCCGAGGGAGATCAATGGCGAGTGGTATATCATAGATGAGGATCTAGAGGTTGAAGCGCCAAGATCAAGGAGTCTATCAGGACAGCCTTAGGCCTGCAGGTCATCACACCATTAATTCTGGGGATTATAGCCCCTCTCATCTCTCAATATGATGTTCCTCTCGACTTCTGCGCTGCTTTCTTTGCCTCTACTGGCCCCTCACGTCTTAGCTGGTCATGCAGGCCAAGTCTCGGACCCGTCAGCGTACCAGAGAGCCAGGTTCCGATGGTGGTGGCCCGGAGGTTGGATCGAGCCAGACCAAGTCGCGGCCGAAATCACCAGCATTGCGGATGCTGGCTTCGGCGGCGGCGAGATCGGCGATGTCAGAGACAGCGTGAAGGGAGCAATGGACCCCGCCGTGTACGGATGGGGCGAGGAGAGGTGGAACGACGGCGTGTTGAATGCTTATGAGCACGCCGCCAAGTAAGTTTGAAGTCGTCAAAGTTGAGTTGTTAGATGAGAGCTTACACACGCGGGCACAGACTTGGAGTTCATGTCGACATGACCTTGGGGCCCCACTGGCCGACCGGCTTCCCGGGATACACCCCGGACTCCCCTGAGACGATGAAGGAACTCGTCCATGGACAGGTCTTTGTGCAAGCAGGAGAAACATTTTCGGGGGCCCTGCCTCTACCTGTTGCGGCACCATCCGGAAACCAGACTGGCAATCTGGTGAACGCTACCCCGAAGCTTGTTGCGCTGTTAGCGGCCAAGACGACGACTGCGAATGAGAGTGCGGCCGTTGGCGAGTTTGACCCAGAGACTGTGACTGTGATTACGGATTCTGTTGATAATGGAACTTTGACATGGACAGCCCCATCGGACGGAGCGTATGTTGTGATTGCCGCTTATGCTCGTGGCACTGGCCAGATTCAGAACATGTACGACGGTAAGTATTGTTGAGTTGGCATGATATCAGCCTCCGTCTAACGTTCAACAGGACAACCCGATGGACCGAAGGTTTACTCGACCCCTGGATATATCGTCGATCACTTCAGTGAGGCTGGCATGCAAGCCGGGGTGAAGTACTGGGAAGAGCACATCCTCACACCAGAGCTAACTGCACTCCTCCGCGAGTAGGTCTCATCAGTCGTTAGCTGCAGTTGAAACCTATTAACTTATCCTATGCAGAAACAATGGATCCATCTTCGAAGACTCGCTCGAGCTCAAGTACAAGCAACTGTGGACCCTCAACTTCACCCAAGAGTTCCAGGCCCGACGAGGATACGATATCTCGCCCTTCCTCTTGTACCTGCTCAAAGACACAACTACATTCACCGGAGACAACTCCACCGCAACCAAAATCACCAACGACTTTTACAAGACCATCACCGACCTCTACGTGGACTACCGCTTGAAAGGCGTCACCGCCTGGGCCAACTCCCTCGGCCTGAAATTCCGCGTCCAGCCCTACACCCTCAACTTCGACAGCGCCTACATCGCAAGCCTCCTCGACATCCCCGAAGGCGAATCCCTCGGCTTCGACGGCGCGCCCGACTCCTTCCGCGTCCTCTCCACCGGCCGCGACATCGGCGGCCGCACCACCATCCTCTCCAACGAGATCGGCGCCTACTTCGGCAAAGCGTACGGCGTCACCTAGAAATTCCTCCTCGGCACGGCGAACCTCGACTCGGCCCTCGGCGTCAGCCAGAACGTCATCCACGGGTTTGCCTACGAGGACTCGCCGAGCAGCCTGTGGCCCGGCTTCGCGCCCTTCACGCCCCTAGGTGCTTCGTCGAACGGGTTCGCGGATGCGTGGGGTCCGAGACAGCCGCAGTGGGTGTTTGCGAAGGCTGCGAGCAGGTACTTGGCGTTCTCGCAGAAGCTTCTACAGGAGAGCGGGGCGTCGATTGACGTTGCGATTTTGAACCAGGATTGGGGCGTCACGGCGGCGTGGGATGATAGTAATCTCAACGATGCGGGGTACTCGTACCAGTTTCCGACGCCGTATCTGTTGCAGAAGCATGGCGTTGCGGTTCAAGATGGGGTTTTGGCGGCAGATGGACCGGGATATCGCGCGCTAATTATCAACAACCAGACAACGATGGACATTAGCACAGCCGAGCTGTTGCTATCGTATGGGAAGGCCGGTCTACCTGTCGTCGTCTCCGGTAACTCGCCAAGGACGACCTTTTCATATTACACAGAGCAGAACGCTGCTGACGAGGAGCTGACTTCAATATTATCCGAGATCCTGAATCTGTCAACAACACGGATCGTTTCTGGGCCTCAAGCTGTCCCAGAGGCTCTATCGGAGTTGGGCGTATCCTCGTCTGTTGAATACCCAGAAGGTCCAGGAAACAACAGTGTCATAACATACAGACGCACAGTTGGGGACGGCTATCTCTACTGGATCTACAACAACGGCGACGAGCATCTCCAGCTGCCGGTTAGACTTGCAGGGGCCGGTGCACCGTACGATATCAATCTGCGGACCGGCGATGTGAAGCCCTTCGCTGCCTTCAATACTAAGAACGGCTACGTCTCGTTGAATGTTACGCTGGCACCCGAGGCGGTGGCTACCATTTTGTACGGGCCTACTCCTCAACCTAAAATATCGCTAACATGAAGTCTAGCGTTGGATATTCAAGCCCTTTCTCAGTCCAACCTCTATCAAACCACCTCACCTCTACTGATTGTCGGGCCGTTGTCAACAACGGCACGGTGCAAATATCTTCCAACACGACATGCAGCGCAACAACATCGACGAACCAGACCATTACACTCGACGCTACCGATATCCCGGAGTCCACCACGCCTTCTACGTGGACCTTGAGAGTACAGGATTGGTCACCGCAATACTCCAATGCAACCGGTAACGCCTCGGTAGCAACATCTAAGACTTGGCTTGCGCCCATCCAGCTGACCTCGCCGCTTGTGCCGTGGACCAACATTACCGGGCTCGAACATGCATCAGGCGTTGGCGTCTACAATACCACCGTCACTTTGGATGTCGGCAGCGGTGCGGATCTGCGAGTGCTTCTTCATATGCCCGAGGTTGAAGGATCGTGGGGACTCACGATCAATGGCCAAGAGGTGGAAGGTGTGGATTGGTTCGCAAGCGAGCCGATTGATGTCACGGATTATGTGACATTTGGCGCAAAAAATGGTTCGTATTGTCTTCAACGCTAGCTTTCCAGCCGTGCTAACGATGACTACAGCTATTGAGATTACGGTTGCCACGAGCCTTTGGAACAAATTAGTCAGTGTCTGGCCGGCCGTGTATGGATCAGAGGTGCCGGTGGCGAACGGACTGGCAGGATCTGTCGTCCTGACCATGGAAAAGATTCTGGTTGTATCTTAGGACTCAACCAATTTACTCGTTAGCACTATTTGCGAGGTCATTGATAATTGACGAATGTATCAAGCGAAAAGATTGGACCAAAATGTCTTTTAATTATCCAGATGATGACGCTAACCGCCCCTCTCTAAACACCCGTCTCGGCTATTACCCTTCCCATACAAAGTCCTGCTCAACCCCTGGAATCAACGGTCGAAGCGCCATGCCATAGTCACCAGCATTAGGAGTTCGGAGTAGCGTGTGAATATGAAACTTGGCCGGCTCCTTGTTCGTCAGGAAAACTCCAGAATGGTGGTCGAATTCCACGAGGATGACTGGGCTCTGAACGCGGTAGTAGAACGGGTCTTGGTCGCCATAACCACCAATCCAACTGAAGTACGTCTCCTTGAAGAACGACTTTGCGTGATTGATGCGAATATCCCGGGCCTTCTTCGGCAAGTAGAGGAGGTACTGCTCGAGAATACCAACCACCAGCTCCTGCTGCTCCGCCGTCATGTCCGCCACCAGAATACCCTCGTACGGCACGATCCGGTTGTCTCGGTAGGCGCCACACAGATGCCTCTGGTCGTCATGGTTCCACCTCCCCTTCGGCATCGCTGGATCCTTCAGCAGCTTATACGTTTGCGCCTTTTGTTGCAGATTGGCCGGGAGGGACTGCATCAGCTGCAACCCAAGCCTCTCCTCCGTCTCCAGGATTCTCGTCCCTTTGTACGGGCCGTCATCAATAAGGTTCGGCTCCGCGCCGGTGAACCAGGGCGACGCCACGATCTGGCCCTTATATAGAAAGATGTTGAGACACAGGTGGTGGCCGTAGAACGAGTACCCCCACGGCCGCGTCGCCGAGGGCGTGCCGAAGAGCACAAAGTTGTAGGAGTACTCGTTGCAGATGCTGGGCGCCTTGACGAGCTCGCCGAGGAAGCCGTTGATGCGCATGGCACCCAAGGCCTTGGCGTAACCTTCGGGCGACAGGGTCGCCTCCAGAACCTTGAGGATGCTCTCCCGGAGCTGCGGCGTTAGCTCGTCGAGGCGGAGGCCCTTGTCGCTGAGGAGGAACTCGGGGTTCGACCAGGAGCGCCACTCTGGCGAGTCAACGTGGTAGGAGAGGGTGTCCTTCTGTTTGGCGTCTAATTGGGAGAGAACGGCGTTGGTGGCGTCTACGATGTCCTGGATCGGGATGCCCTCGTCGGCTAGTTGGAAGAGATCTCTTTTTACGGTGCCTGTTGGGAGAGTTAGCTCTCTTCAATTTCCAGTGTCTCAACTTAACTTCAAGATCTACTTACCATCTGTCGTGATGCCAGTGTATGGCTCCTTGAACAGCTTTCGCCAGTGCAGATACAGAGCGTGTAGCCATGGCGGGTTACCACCCTCTTCGAACTCTTTCGCGTAGACGTGAGCATCCTGCTTCTGCATCGTCGTGAAGCGAGGTATGCTCAGGTCTGGCAAGTGTTGGCGATACTCGCCGCCGTGAAGGCTCTGCTCTCCTCCACCAGCCATCTTGTCGGTCTTGAGATGTGACAACCACACACCAAGTCGTTGAGCTGGTATTGCTTGGTGCTTTGGGCTCCTCGAAGATGCTGTTGCTGATTTCATGCACCGCTCTCTCCAATTGATAGCTTGAATAACAGAAAGATGAACCAGCCACTTGACAAGTTACGTGTTCAAGGCTGCGAAGTCGGCAGATTAATCTTCGGTCACTCTCTCATTCATCGCGACCCATCAGCCCACATCAAGCAAAACCGTATCAACTGCCGCGGGTATGTCACGAAGCTGACGTCGGCGACCATCGGCCCATGTGCCCCCGACATCTGTACCCCTCACTTTCCGGCCCCTCATCCCACTTCGTTACACCCCTCATCCTCGCATCCCCCCCACTCGACCCCAGAGCTGCGCCCCTGGCCGCGCCCGGCTTTTCCGCATGTCATCAACTCTGTACAGAAGCAACCAATGGCGGTGCGTGCAACATCTGGCTTAGCGCAGGCCGAGAGTGCGACTACGCAGAAAAACACAGTTCAGAGCTGCTGTGGCTTGTTGTGTGACACTTCCCGGACCTCCGAGCCGGCGAAATCCCCAAAACGCCCATCGGCACTTGGTGCGGGGAGCCCCAGTCGGATTCCACGATTCGGAGACGCCTCCCACCAACCTCTCGACCCCTCTACTCCGCGAACGCCATCCGAACTTGCATTTGAAGGAGAGCTTCGAGCTGGGAAAATCTTACGGTATCTCACCAAAGAAGACTGGATCTCAATTGGGAGCCTTCACACGCACACACATAACCTCACACCATCAACATGTCTTCGTCATCAACCTTCTCCCGTAAGCCTTCCCTTCCTCTCACCCGGCAGCCGTTCCGGTCCCCCTCATAAGCTCGCTTGCTAATCAAACCCAGGCCTCGTGCGGTTCGTCCCCCGTGATGCCCCCAGCAAGGTGCTGATCGGAGAACCGGAATCAGAGTCAGTCGACGTCGGCCTGGCTGTCCGGGGCGGCAAGGAGGTCAAGGTCGCTGTGTGGTCCGGCTCTAGCGTGCTCAACCCCGGCAGCAAGACCGATCAGGTGGCCGTCATCGACCGCGTCCTTTCGCCCGTCTCGGCTAAAGAGGTCGGCACCATCCGCTGTATCGGGCTGAACGTGAGTGACCTCTATATCTCTCATTGCATGAAGGGGTATGCAATGCTGACTCGGGCTGCAGTACATCCAGCATGCAAAGGAAGTCGGCGTCGCCCTGCCAGACGTTCCTACCGTGTTCCTGTAAGTCGATCTTCGCAAATCTCACGATAAATTGTCCGGTCGCTGATAGCAATCACAGGAAGCCCAACACGGCGCTGGGTAACCCTTGGCCGGAGCCGACTGTGCTGCCGCACCTCACTCAGGCTGACGACTGCGGCGACTACGAGTCCGAGCTTGCTGTCGTGCTCGGCAAGGCGTGCAAGAATGTGTCCGAGGCAGACGCCATGGACTACGTCCTGGGCTACACCGCCTGCAACGACGTCTCCAGCAGGACGTACCAGATGAACCAGTCGCAATGGTGCTTCGCGAAGGGCTTCGACGGCTCTTGCCCCCTAGGTAAGATGAATCTCCCAAGATTTCCCAAGGTGTGATGGCAGAGATGCTGACAGCATGATTCAACGCAGGACCTACCCTGGTCTCAAAGTCCCTCATCCCGGACCCTACCAAGCTTCAAATGCGCGGCTTGAGGAACGGCGAGGTTCTCCAGGAGAGCGGCATCGAGTAAGTCCAACCCTCAATCCATCTCAAATACCATCTCACTGACGTTGATATTTCCAGTGATCTCATCTTCAGCATTCCCAAAATCATCAGCTTCCTGTCCCAGAGCACGACGCTGCCCGCCGGCACCGTCATCATCACCGGTACCCCTGCGGGCGTCGGTCTTGGCCGCAAGCCCAAGGTCACGCTGAAGCACGGCGATGAGTTCAAGGTTGAGATTCTGCCCCACATCGGCACTCTGGTCAACGTCTTCGAGAACGAGAAGTAAGGTGGTCGGGTTGGCTGTGGCGTGTGCTTGAGATCCATGCAACTCTAGACTATGCAAGGACTATATTGGCTAGAGTGAGAGAGTGGTGTAATGAGACGAAGAATAGAGCTTCCCCATTGGATGAAATCTGAGGTGTCAATGGTGTGACAGGTTGAGAGACTTCAACTACCGTGCTCTATGTGTGACTGATGAGCTCAGTCTTAGGGATTAGCTGTTGCGCCCAATTTTAACTAAGGCTATGCGCAAGGAGGCAATGTAAAAGGTGAAGTCTTTCATGATTATGGATCTTGGTTGAATGATCCCGTAAAGCCAATATTTGGACATCATTATTTCCACCCCAGTGTTCACAATGCAAATGGAGCATCTCAATTTCAGCATGATTTAATCATTTGTATTTCATCTACGAAGGCAACAGTGTGCATCTCTTTACTGGTCAATCAACGGGGGAACGACCTCAAGAAGGTGCTCAACAATAGCATCAGGGCCCCTCTCAACCTGCAGTCCATGCGGAATGGCGTGCGTCTTGATGTCTGGCTTGATTGACCTCGCCGTCGACAGGATCTGGTTGGCCTCCTCCGCAGTCCACATTGACGCACAGAACTTTGCTATCGTCAGATGCAATCTCTCTCAAAGGGGGAATATAAACTCACCAGGACATCAGGCATGTGCTCCTTGACCTTGCCCTCGACCTCATCTATCCCTGTGAAAATCGTCAGCTACCAAACAGCTGTCATGTCTGAGAAAATGGCTTACTCTCGCAGTTTGCAACATGCTCAATCGTGTACCGGTCCTTGAGAGCCTCAATCATACGGCCGACGAGGCGCTTCGCGCGCTCAGGGGCCGTGTTGACGGTCACCAGCTTGTAAGGACCCTTGGGCGCCATGGTGCGGGGTTGATAGCGGAGGTGGAGGTGGTGGTGGCAGTAAGACTGGTATGAACTTTTGAGACGACACAACAAGAATAGCTTCTCGGTCGGATGTAGAGTTGCCAAAAACAGAAGTTGCTAAGAAATAGACTTGACAAGAATCCTGAAACTTGTTGTTCCTCGTAGTGACAATCAGGGAGAGCGTCTAAGTTTGAGCAGCTTGGTTTTTGTCGTGGGATGACATGCCGAGCCCCGAAGCCGCTGACAACGACGGCCAATATAATCGGCAGATGACTGCGCCGAGGTCGCTCGCGCGCATATTTCGCACATACGAAAAACCGCCGAAACACACTCATCACACAGCAACAGCTGGGCCACCAGCAACAGACCCTGGAACCTCTCCACGCAGCAGAAACCAGTTGCCGGCTTTGCCGATTTCGCCTCCGTTACGAGAACCCCGTATATCCACTTCTCCATCCTTCCATTCGGCTTGATTCCAGTGGGAACTTCGTAACCAGCCGTGAATAGTGGCCCGCCAGGCGGCTGGGAGACACGGCGGCGACAGCGCGGAAAACCCGAGACCCCGGATTTCCCGCCAGCGCATCCAACGCCGTCCACCACCAATTTCGATTTCCCACTACTGCGTCCACCCAGAAATAATGCCCCCGCGGGACGCTCCCGCGCCTCCGGCTCGCAGTGTGGGGGATCTCCGGGGAAGCCTACAGCATGGGGGGGCGGCAAATTAGGCAGAGAAGGGGGACTTGCCGAAGGCGCATTCCCAACAAAGATTTGAAGAAGAACATGGGTTGAACACTTGGATCGAGCTGTTCTTTCGATCCGACCGTGTTCTTGGTGGTGCATTCTTTGAGTGGTAAGGGAGTCCTGCCATTGCGACCGAACCCAAACTCTCTTTTTTCTACGCATCTTGTCTCAAGTTCTTATTGAAGCTGCCGAGCCCGAACGACGACACTATGTTTCGGTGGCTCAATTCGTTGATTTTCCCAAGAGCGTCAGCATCGTCGGCTGAGAAATCTGACAACATGGCGGTGAGTGGTGCTTGTCTTTGATTGACTCTACCCGTGGTTATGGCGTGTCCATGGTAACTAACAAGATGAACCAGGTCACTGCTCACACCAGATCATCAGTACAACTGGAAATCATAGTCGTCGGCGCCGGTCTGAGCGGCCTCGCAACAGCAGTAGCGGCAGCTCTCTCGGGGCACAAAGTCACAGTCTTTGAATCCGCAAAGGAGCTGCTCGAGGTGAGATCTCATCATCCCATCATGAGATTTCTTCATGAGATATTGACAGAAATCCCCCCCTAGGTCGGAGCAGGCCTGCAGGTGACGCCAAACTCCACCCGCATCCTGCAGAAATGGGGCCTCCCAGATCGCCTCTGGAAATCCGCCTCGGAGCCCAACACGCTTGTCGTCCACCGCTACTCGGGCAGCGTCCTCGCCAAGGAGGAGAACTTCAACAAGAACATCCGCGCAAAGTATCAGGCCCCCTTCATCGACCTGCACCGCGTCGATCTGCAGCTGTCCCTGTACGAGCGCGCCAAGGAGCTTGGCGTGCGCTTCGCCCTCGGCGAGAAGGTCGACAGCATCGACTTCGACCTCCCCGAGCTGACCACGCAGTCCGGCGTCAAGGCTCGGGCGGACCTCATCGTCGCCGCCGACGGGCTGTGGTCGCGCTCGCGCGCGTGTTTCTTGAAGGCGGACGATCCGCCGCTGGCGACCGGCGATCTGGCGTACCGTGTTGTGTTGAACGTTGACCAGATCAGCGACCCGGAGCTGAAGGCGTGGATTGAGAATCCGCAGGTGCATTTCTGGGTCGGGCCCGGCACGCATTGTGTGGGATACTCGATGCGGGCGGAGAAGATGTATAATCTTGTGGTGCTGGCGCCGGATGACTTGCCGACGGGGGTGAGCAGGCAGGCGGGTGATGTCGATGAGTTGAGACAGCGGTTTGAAGGGTGGGACCCGATTTTGAGGAAGTTCCTTGATGCTGTTGACAGTGTCGAGAAGTGGAAGTTGATGCACAGTAAGTTTGATGATGAAATGCTCGCCGCGAACGGTCATACTAATGCTGCTTTCAGGAGAAGAGATGGCCTCATGGGTGAGCGACAAGTCCAACTTTGTGTTCGTGTAAGTTGCCTCATCTCACTCATAACCCAGCGCTGAGTGTTCGCTAACGACTGGATTCCAGCGGAGATGCATGCCACCCCATGCTGCCGTACCTCGCCCAGGGCGCCAACTCAGCGGTAGAAGACGGCGCTGTTCTTGGTCTTTTGCTGGGCCATCTCACCAGCAAGTCTCAATTGCCGACTGCCCTGAGATTGTACGAGAAGCTCCGCAAAGCCCGCGGCGAGGCGATTGTGAGGGAGACGTTCAAGCAGGTGAGTGCAGCTGTTCATCTGGCACGCTGATCAATGGCTAACTTCCCGCCGCAGCGCCATGATTTCCACATGCCCGACGGCCCAGAGCAAGAGGCCAGAGACAAAATCTTCCTGTCTCAACTCGGCAAAGAGCTCAAGGGCCCCTTTCCGAGCAGATGGACGTGTCCCGAGGTCCAGCCGTGGCTGTACGGCTACGATGCGTACAAGGAGGTCGAGGAGGTGATGAAGAGCGACCCGTTCAGCAGGGCGAATCTTTAGGGTATTGTGTTCTCCAGGCAGTATTTCCAGTGGGCTGCAGAAGCAGCGGCTCATTTTTTGTTAGCGACGGGATTTTTCATGTACGGGGTAATACCAGCTCTGGAAGGGTGCCATGAGATCGGCAAGGCATATTGTGTACACTTCAAATCATTAGCGATATATCAAATAACATCATTTTGCTTGCACCCGTCGACCACCAGCGGATTGAAAAGGGACCGAGGGCTGAGCCGTCATCCGGGCGCTGAACCGCCGAACAACACGGAGCTCCCGATCTCCACCACGATGCGACGCCCCGGCACACTGATTCCGCAGAGGAGACATCAGTTTATTGGGCATCGTTTGCAAAGTGCGCCTCTTCCAAAAAGAGGAAATGACAGTATTACGCCTTCCTGCAAATCTGCAGTCAGCAATCCCAAAGACCGCCCGGGAGACTGTTGCTCCCTCCAACCAGCGTCATATCCCGGCAAAGTGGCTGCCATGGGCTGAGACACCAACGCTAAACTCCTTTGAGGAAATGGATGTGTCCCTGTACAACGCTCGCCCTGCGCCATACGACAGAGGCAGAGGATTTTAGGCACGATGTGGCACAGCACGTGTGAAGAGCGATCTTGTCAGATTCTTGGCCTTCGAAACTTGTCCAATGGCTGCGCCTGATGAGCCATATCTGACAGCGAGTAAACACGGTCCGCCTACCTGGTAAGATGTCATAAGGCTGTTCCCCCAGCCAGCTTGCGGTAGTGTTGACCGTTTGCTGCGTGCCCCCCGTCGAATAACCCAATTGGGAATACGACACGGCGGCGGTGCGATTGTGATTGAATGCCCGACTTGTTGGGCGGCGCGTCACACAGGCAGGGTCCCTTGCTTTTGAGGTCTGCTTGTTCTTTCAAAAGGATGTTGATTTCGCTGCGTTCGTGAGCTTGGTCTCTCTGGAATTTTGTCGAAAGCTTACGTTGAAACATTGCATAAATATCAGCTTCCATCTTGGTCGCTTCATCAACATTAGGTCTCGTTAACTTGACGACTTATCAAAGCCTTTGGGAATTGCTCCTCGACAGCTTGATTCAACCACATTAGTGCCATTCGGTTGAAGCCTACTACGATTCAGATTATTTACAAGAACTTTACTGCAAAATTCACGAGCATCGACACCTGCTGAACCGCCACTCAACCGCCGCAATGGCGGCCCCAAGATCCGCACTGCTGCGCCAGATCGGTATCTTAACAATCAAGAACTACATCATCCTCATATCTCGACATACCGGATCAACCATCTACACAGCTCTGATCCTTCCTATCATCCTCACAATATATCTGGGCATCGGCCGAAATCTCAACGGGCCCCAAAACGACTACGGCATCGCCGACCCACGCGCCGTTCGATCCCTGCAAGACGGTCTCTCCGCCGCCGACGGCTCCCGCAACACCGTCGTGTTTGTCAGCAACGGAAACACGGGCGGCGACATCGAGCGCGTGATTTCCTCCCTCTCGGACGAGGTCGCTGCGGCCGGCAAGAACGCCACCACCATCGCCAACGTCGACGACTTGAGTCTCATATGCCAAACGGCGACGAGAGGGACGACGCCGTGCTACGGCGCTGTTGTCTTCCACTCCTCTCCCAGCGAGGGCGACGGCGGCTTATGGAACTACACCCTTCGAGGCGATCCCGCTCTGGGACAAAAGTTCCAGGTGAGCAAGAGTGACAACGATGCGCAGGTTTACACCCTCCCTCTCCAACGCGCCGTGGACTCTGCCATAGTACGGTTAAACTCCACAGCAGCCGACTCCGATCCGCTCGCCAACGTGCAAGAATGGGGCTTCACCGACGAGACCGAAGACGAGCGCGAAGCCTCCGTCAGACGGCGCTACCAGCAGACCTTCATCGACTACCTCGCCGTCTCCTTCGTCCTCGCCCTCATCGGCGTCAGCTACCACCTGCCAGGCCACGTCGCTACGGAGCGCGAGAAGGGCCTCTCCCAGCTCATCGACACCATGATGTCGACCCGGTACGAGTGGGAGCCCCAGGTCGCCCGGATGGTCGCCAACTTCTACTCCTTCGCCACGATCTACTTCCCCGGCTGGCTGGTCGCCTCCATCATCGCGCGGACCATGATATGGAAGGAGACTAACATCGGCATCATCATCATCTTCTTCATCCTCGGCGGCCTCGCCTTGACGTCGCAAGCGATCCTCGGCGCCACGTTCTTCAAGAAAGCACAGCTCTCCGGCGTGGTCAACTCCCTCGTCTACGTCCTGCTCGGTGTCCTTGCCCAAGCTATCCCTGACCCGCCCTCTGCCGCCGTCGCTGTTCTCAGTCTTCTCTTCACCCCCTGCGCCTTCGTCTTCTTCATCAAGTCGATCGCTCGATTTGAGGCCGAGGGCCGGCCGATGAACCTCATCAAGGGACCCCCGACCGGCGCTTCAAGTCTCCCCGGCATCGTCCTCTGGATCTTTCTCATCATCCAGTTTCTTGTCTATCCCCTGGTGGCAGCCTTTGTCGAACGCCAGATCCACGGTGTCGGGTCGGAGAGTCGTAGGATCTACAGAGGTGTCGGGCCTCAACCGCAGGAAGCAGTCTACATCGATGGGCTCACGAAAGTCTACAAGCCAAGCCTCTTCCGCCGCATCTTCTCCTTCATCTCGAAGCCTCGGGAGCCGACTGTCGCCGTCAACAACCTCAACCTCACGGCAAAAAGGGGCCAGATCCTCGCGTTGCTGGGTGCTAACGGCAGCGGGAAGAGCACGACCCTCGATGCGATCGCTGGCATCAGCCGCTTCAACCAGGGCAGCGTGTCCATCGACGCATCGGGCGGCATCGGGATTGCCCCGCAGAAGAACGTTCTCTGGGACGAGTTGACCGTCGCCGAACACATTCGCATCTTCAACCAACTCAAGTCCACGGGGTACACGAACGGTGGCGACGACATGACATGGCTGATTGACGCCATCGGCCTCGGTTCCAAGAAGAGCGCTCAGTCCAAGACCCTGTCCGGCGGCCAGAAGCGCAAGCTGCAGCTCGGCATGATGTTGACCGGCGGCAGCGCCGTGTGCTGCGTCGACGAAGTATCTTCCGGCATCGACGCCCTTTCGCGGAGGAAGATCTGGGACATCCTGCTGGCAGAAAGGGGACGAAGGACTATCATCATGACGACGCACTTTCTCGACGAAGCTGACCTCCTGGCGGACAACATCGCCATTCTCTCCAGGGGCAAGCTTAGAGCAGAGGGCTCGTCGGTTGCGCTCAAGGATTCCTTGGGCGCCGGCTACCGCATCCACGTCCTGAACGCCAAGAATGTCAGAGTAGCCCCTGAAGTCCACGGCGTCGACTTGAAAGTCTCATCAAACACCATCGTCTACACTGCGCCGTCATCCAACCTGGCAGCAGAGGTCATCCGCGCCCTTGAAGCAGCGCGTCTTCCGTACAAAATCAACAGTCCCAACATCGAAGATGTATTCCTCAACGTCGCCGAAGAGGTCCAGGGAGAAGACCTCCAGTCTCGCCCTGCGCCTGGCGCGAGGTTCTCCGATGACTCAGGTCAGGTTACCGAGAAGGGGATGGCAGACGGCGGCCGTAACTCGCTCGGACTCCAGTCGGGTCGTCAGACTGGCTTCTTGAAGCAGATGACGGTCTTGGTGTACAAGCGCGTCACCCTTTTCAAGACCAACTGGGTCCCCTTTGTGGCTGCTTTCCTCATCCCCGTCATTGCCGCGGCCATCATGCAGATCCTCATCAATGACAAGCCTGCGTCGAGTTGCACCCCCACAGACGGGAACGGGAGAGCAACGAGCGGGATGTACGATGGTGTCATTGAGAACATGCGTGTCGCTGCCGGACCAGCTGCGGCCGTGGACGGAACTGCATTTACCTCTCTCGTCGATGTGTTGGCCCCAGAATCGGGCAACTTTACGCTGAACAGCATCTCGTCCGAGGCTAACCTGCGGGACTATGTGGACGATGAGAGGAAGAACATCATGCCTGGAGGCTTCTGGGCTTCCAACGATAACGGACCCCCGACTGTGGCATGGCGAGCAGACACGGAAGACTACAAGGCCATTGCCGCCGCCGTCGTCTCCCAGAACTTTCTCACCGTCGCTCTGACAAACACCAACATCGTCACAAGGTACATCTCCTTCGACAGCGCCTTCGGTGCCGCGAACATCGACACCATCCAACTGGCCATCTTCTTCAGCATCGTCCTCTCCATCGTCCCAGCCTTCTTCGGGCTCTACCCCAACGTCGAGCGGCGTTCCAACGTCCGCGGTCTGCAATACTCCAGCGGAGTCCGATCACTACCCCTCTGGACGGCTCATGTTATCTTCGACTACGGCATCTTCGTCGTTGCCCTCATCATCGCGGCCGTCATTTTCGTAGCGACCTCAGATGTATGGTACGCCCCTGGCTACCTCTTCCCGGTGTTCGTACTCTACGGACTCACCTCAATTCTGCTCTCTTACGTGTTCTCGCTCTTTATGAAGAGCCAGATCGCGACCTTTGCTGCCATCATGGCCTACAACAGCGTGGGCTTTGCCATCTATCTTATCGCCTTCCTCTACATCTTGACCTTTTCCCCGGCTACGGTCAGCGACCGCAATATCTTGATCGGGCACTACACCGTTGCGGCCTTCTTCCCAGTCGCTAATGTCTGCCGCGCCATGATTGTTGGCCTGAACACATTCAACTTGGCCTGCGACAGCACCGACTTCTTCAGCTACCCCGGGACCCTGGACGCATACGGAGGCCCGATTCTTTACCTAGCTCTCCAAGCCGTGCTTCTGTTCTGCACCTTGCTATGGCACGACAGCGGAAACAAACTTCCCTCTTTTCTCAAGCGCAAGAGGACACACCAGGTCGAGAGCGAGCAACCTTACAGCGACCAAGAAGTCGTCAACGAACTCACCCGCGTCGAAACAACCGGCTCAAACGACGCCCTCCAAGTCAAGCACCTGACCAAGAAATTCGGCAAATTCACCGCCGTAGACAACGTCACCTTCGGCGTCCGCCACAGCGAGGTCTTCGCCCTGCTCGGCCCCAACGGCGCCGGCAAATCAACCACCATCTCCCTCATCCGCGGCGACATCCAGCCCAGCAAGAACGGCGGCGACGTCCTCGTCGAGCACGTCTCCATCACCGATCACCGCGCCCTCGCCCGCTCCAACCTCGGCGTGTGCCCGCAGTTCGACGCGATAGACTCCATGACCGTCCTCGAACACCTGCGCCACTACGCACGTCTCAGGGGCATTGCGGACGTCGAGTACCAAGTCCAAGCCGTCGTCCGCGCCGTCGGCCTGGACGCCCACGTGAACACGATGGCACAGCACCTCTCGGGCGGCAACAAGCGCAAGCTCTCGCTGGGCATAGCCCTCACGGGCAACCCGTCCGTGATCCTCCTCGACGAGCCTTCCTCCGGCCTCGACGCAGCCGCCAAGCGCATCATGTGGCGCACTCTGAGCACCATCATCCCGGGCCGCGCGATCCTGCTGACCACGCACAGTATGGAAGAGGCGGACGCGCTAGCTAACCGCGCCGGCATTGTTGCGCAGCGGATGCTTGCCATCGGCGAGGTCGAGACGCTGCAGGCGCGCTTCGGGGATTCGTTATACGTCCATCTTGTTAGTCGCGGCGCGCCGCACTCGACGCCGGAGGAGATGGACCGCATGCGCGAGTGGGTGCAGATGATGTTCCCTAAGGCGAGCATTGAGGCGGCGACGTACCACGGGCAGATGCGCTTCTCCGTTTCTGCGGCTGACGTGCTGGCGCGCGCGCAGCAGGTTCAGGAGACGAGAAAGCGGGTACAAGGGGAGACTGGCCGGGAGGCGGGCAGTTCGAGTGCCATCGGTCAGTTGATTTTGATGCTCGAGGAGAATAAGGATGTGCTGGGCATTGAGCACCACAGCGTCAGTCCCACGACGCTCAACGATGTTTTCCTGGCCATCGTGGGACAGCACAATGTCCAGGAGGAGGGATACGGGGCTTCGGCGGCGGGTGCAGAGAAGAAGAAGATTCCTTGGAGGAAGATTCTGCTTGGTTTCTAAGATGGCTGGCCTCCTTGCGTGGTGTGACGTTGAAGAGTGTAAGAGTTTGTCTCTTAGGATGGGTTACTCCGGAATAGCGTGTCCTTTGGCTAGATTCCCGTTCTGTATTGTATTGTTCTTTTCTCGGGAACCATCTGTTGAATGAAGGACGGTCGCAAGATCTCAATAAACCGCATCTATATCGTTCTTTCTACTGCTTTTTAACACTCCCGGTGATCAATGTCCACGGAGGGCCACGGCAGCCCACGGCGGTCCACGGCGATTCAATCGGGATGATAATGCTGGGATTCGGACGCTAAACCCGGAGACGCAAGTGTTGCTGCCTTGGAGTCAGCTTATCAATCACTGCACCTCCGGCTGTTCGGCCGAATCGCCAGGCTCGACGATCCCGCGCGCGACACATCCCGCCGCTAGACCCGAGCCGTATGGGGCCGCATTTTCATCCGCTGCAGGTTCCCGGCCAGTGCCATGTGGCTTCTCTCACATCCGAAACCGAAGGAATGTCGTCAAACAAACTCCCTCGACATTAATGCTGCATGATCTCACTGATTGCTCAGCGCACGCTCTTGTTCGGAGCCCGACCACGGATAAGCTGCCTAGAGAAATGGTCCCACATTCGGAATCATCTGGTTTAACCCGCGCCATTATGACCCGGTGCCAAGCCGCGATATGGTCTTGCGGCTTGAATGTATTGTGGTCCTAACAAGAGATCGACGTTTTGGATAATCATGCGATTTCAATGCTACTCGGGGCTTACATGGTGAATGGCTCAGCGTCATGGCCGCATGGTAAAGTCGTATTGATGACCTTGCTACCAGTATTGCGGAGGGATGAAGCCCCGGCTTGGTCACTTCGAAGATTCAACCTTGATGTGGTAATCATAAGTCTGATGACATTCTAGATGTCGAGAGAAGGGCCTGTTACTCACCAAAGGTTGAAAGGTGTCAATCTCACTCACGTCTACATGTATAAAAGGACCGCTACGGGATGGGTCAAATGAGATTATCTTCTCGACACCATTTAACTCACTCTTCTTCCACCAAGCCTTACACTCAATATCAAAGTTATCTTCTTCATCCATCTATCACCATCAACCATGTCTGCCCCCATCAACAACCCCGAGCCCTGGTCCCTGGCCGGCAAGACGGCCGTCGTCACCGGCGCCTCCCGCGGCATCGGCAAAGCCATCGCCATCCACCTCGCCCGCAAGGGCCTCACCAACATCGCCATAACCTACGCCGCCAACCAATCCGCCGCCGACGACACCATCGAAAAGTGCCGCGCCCTCGGCGTCAAGAACGCCGTCGTCATCAAGGCCAACGCGCTCAACCCGGACGCCTGGCCCGACGTGATCAAGCAGGCCCTCGGGGCCCTGAAAGTCGACACCATCGACATCCTCGTCAACAACGCCGTCCTCGCCAGCATCGACCACTACAAAGCCACGCCCGAGCTCAACGCCGACAACTTCTCCGCCGTCATGGTCGCCAACGTGTACGCCCCCGTGGCGACCACGATCGCCTACATGGAGCACGCGGCGCCCAAAACCGGCGGGCGCGTGATTAATATCTCCAGCATTGCGGGCCGCGTCGGTAACGGGAATCCAATGATCACGTACGGCGCGAGCAAGGCTGCGCTGGATAGTTTCACGCGCTCCTTCGCCGACCAGTTCTCGTCTGAGAAGGGTATCACGTTCAACAGCGTCATCGTGGGGCCGACTCTTACGGATGCATTTGAGGAGGTCACAAAGTCTATGCCGAAGGAGCTAAAGGAGAAGTATATCGCGGAGACGTCTGCTGCTCCAAGATTTGGAGAGCCGGAAGATATTGCTTACATTGTCGGGTTCCTTGCCAGTGAGGAAGGCAGATGGGTGAATGGGGCTGCTGTCAGCGCCAATGGCGGTTTCAGAAGCATGCTCGCGGCCCTCGGTTAGAACATAAGCTGGCCGCAGCTCACCAGATTTCATATCTATCTGGTTTTGTATCAATCTGTACTTTAGAAGCTTCATGTTTCCGCTCGAATCGTACCCGCCACGAACCGGTGGTTCTAGTACCGCATGGCCGCGTCAGCCCTCCGTCAATCCCTGCTTCCATGCAGCGCTCACACCCATGGAATAATGGCTTACCTTCTAAATACAAACTCATATTCATATACTGATAAAAAATACTCAATTTACACTCGATATATTCTAATCATTTATTTCAGTGTGGAAATTTGTTTGACTTTGTCTCCAATGCTATTTCGTCGGCTGTGTCGCCGTTACTCGGAATAATTTGGCACTGCGAAGGAGACGGGCCTCTCTTAGCACAACAATAACTACAGTGACAGTGAATCTATATAAAGAATTGCTGTCTTACAAAGAATTTGCGTTCGATCACTGGAAGCTTGTATGGTCAGCGTAACAAAGAATTGATATCATGGACTGCGGTGTTCCCCATGACAGACTTTAAAGGGGCTTTCGTGGACCCTCGGATATCAGCGCTCACGCTGCCTCCGGTGGTCAGTCCTCGCTATGAAGGCGTTGAGTCGTCTTGTACATTATACTCTCTATTAGATGTAAAATCAACCCAGTTTATGAGTTTCAGTGGCATTCAATTATGTCTCCCAACGGGCTTCATTCGTCCGTCGAAGAGTTGCAGCAGGATACGCAGAGTGGGTCTGCGCAAACAGAACATACCGTCCGTATGCAGGTTGCCGCTTGCCTCTCTTTCGAACCTAGTCGACCTGGGAACTTCCTTCCCTCCCAGACGTTTTGAAAAAAAAACTTCTTCCTTCACCCTCCCAGCAGCAAGGTCAACACAGTGAGTGTCATCCTCCGCGCAGTTTGCGATGCCCGTCAGCTTCAATCTCCCAGTTCTCTAAAGAAATCAAGACCAAATTTTACTGATACATACTTGCAGATCATTTTTCCGCGGACCCGACAACCTGCAAACGCTCAACCCATCAACCGCTGCCCTCGCGCAGCTTGGATTGCGCGATGATGGATTACAGCGACCTATCCTCCTCCTACAAGCGGTACAAGCTCAAGACCGCTGAAGCCCTCGACTGGCTCGTCCTCGAAGCGAGCAAACTCAAGACCGCAATCACTTCTCCCCGCCAGTACAAAGTGTGCGAGTTGGTGGATCTGGCAATAGCATGTGCAAACGCCGGGCGAGTGATGCCGAAGGAGACGAGGAAGGCGCTGGAGGAGTCGCTCTGCCTCCGCCGTCGATGTGCGGAGTGGTTTCTCCAGCACGGCTCCGAGGCCGCGAATGCAACTCATACATTTTTCAACGAGAGCCTTCAGAAGATTCTTGACGCCTTTGCTCATCCCAAGCCAGAGGCGACTCGACCCTCCGCCTCCCCACCCACGAGCAAGCCCCCCTCCGCGACGCTGTCGGACCGAGACACATCCCAAACCAACTACTTCGCCATTCTCGCCGACGATGACGACGTTCATTACCAATCCTCTGATGAAGACGTCTCTGCTGGTCTCTCCACAGGCAATGGTGTGACCAGGCCAGACCGAGCCGCAACCAAGAAGACATCAGAAGCAGAGCATTGTTCCCAAGAGGCCGAACAGAGTGGCTGGGTAGCCTTTGATGACGACCAGTTGATGGAGCTCGGTTGTCTTCTCAAAGACTGTCGCGATATTCGTCTTTCCTGCAGCGGCTCTGGGCAGAATATTCAAGTTCCAAAGTCGACCTCATCACCGCATGGCTTGTAACTCAGGCAGGCTTCCAGCATCTTGTTGACCTTGAGACCGTCTTCATTCAGAAGTACCCATACCTTGACAACCTGGGGTCAATGTCGAACGCCATGTACTGTTTCTGTGGTCTAGGACAGAGCTCCTTCTGGCCCGACAGTGCGGCAGAGGGCTCAAAGCGCTGGGATGACAAGACTATCCGGAACGTCGACAAAATGCAATGGCTATCGGAGTCAAATATGAAAGACTGGCTGCTTTGCGACGTCTCGTTCATGTTGGAGAACCTAGACAGCGAGTCGAACCTGGAAGCTGGAATCAAGGACGACCCCTGGCGCTATCCGGAGATCCCACTTTTCCAAGTGCAAGGTCTCGAGCACCGGAGGCTCTATACACTTCAACGCGAGTCTCTGGCAGCAGGAAAATCCGTGGCCTGTCTCGACCTTCTCACGTCCCGCATGGTCTCAGAATCATCGAAAACGGCGGGCTCTCCCGTCCGTCTCAGCACCGCGGCAATGTGCAGGACCTATCTCGACATCTTGAACATACCAGACTTGATGTCACGGGTCGCTACTGACCTAGTGAAATACCTGAACTACAGACAATTGCAAGACGCAAGGTCTTTCGCCCGCCTTATGACGCAAGCTGGCAACGAAGTCACGGCCTGGCAGCATTACCGATTTGCTCTGCTTCATGGCTCGGATGGAAAACCATTCATCCAAAACCCGATCCTCCTTGGTGGCCTTCTCTGCAGCGTGTCAGTTACCTCACATTTGGCGGAGGCTTTCAGTGTCAGCTATTCCGGATCCCTCGTGGCTGTCGCTCACCAGTACAACGCCATTCGCATTTTGAGCCTCGATATTACCGTGCCTCGTTGGAAGGATCTCGAAGTCTTGATCGGGTTACAGAAGGCAGCCACCTTTGCTCCGGAGCCACCTCAGACCTTTGATCAATGTATCATTCGGTTTTGGCGCTCCCAAGGCCTCAGGCTGAGCGAGATCAGAACCAAAACCATTACCGCCGACCGCCTGGCTTTAGCCGCGCAGAGGGTTGTCCCCCTGCATCGTCACCTCAAGCAGATCTCGAAGACCGACCTGACTCCTGAAGACATTACCAAAGGTCTCAACTTCCACATCAAATGCGAATCACAGAGGAACACTTTCGGGTTTCGCAGGGAGTTGCGCGGCATCCCGCTGCTCGAACATCTCTTTTACGCCTAGGAGTAAACAGGGGTTTGGAAGCTATCACTCAGTGACAGGGTGGTGAGGAGCGCTGTCGAGGCTGACTTGGGAAAACTTCGCGGTTCCCAGGCTGGAAACCGTCCTCTCAGCGCTGTGGACCTCCCGGCAGTTGTCTGGCTTTGCCAGTTGCAAAAGATGTTTCAGCGAGAAACACCTGAGATGTTCTTTGACTATGCGTATCTGGAACGCCGGGTCATTAACCAGTTGTGCAAAGATAGCGCGTCCTCTAAGCACGTTGCAAGATTCTTTGAGAACCCTGACCGAGGACTGTCTCAATGGATGAGCCACATGTCCAACAAGTCGAACCTCGCGGTAGTCTCCGATCATTGGAAGGCTTGGTGCAAGTAAGTCAATCTGATTTGCAAAACGTTGAGACCTCGACTAACTCATCAACACCAGGGAACTGGGCATGGTGATCCCTTCTAACATTCTTTGATGCGGTGGGCAGTTCTCATACATGCTAGCACCCACAATTGGGCTTAAAATATTTGTGTCTTTTCAGTTACTTTAGCAATGAATGAATTGATTGAGACAGAAACTCTCTTTGAAATTATTAGCGACTCCGAGCCCCTTATTCCATTTGATATTGAAAGTGAGAAAGACTGAATCTACCGCCCTTCGAGGATGGAAACCATCCTCGGCCTCAAGTTGAACGTAGTATCGTCATCTAGAATGTACATCCACATTAGTGAGAGGTCTTTTAGTTTCTTATAGAAATGCTAGGCCTCGAGTTAGCCTTTGTGACGACAAAGCGGCTAGGTCATTTGGGACCTCATCGTGGACGTCACCTGTTTTTGTGAGGCGATATGTTACTATGTCGTTCTCAGTCCAGCAAAGGCGCCCTTGACCAAATGACATAAAGGTATGTACATCTCGTCTTGAAAGTCCAAAGCAGGTTGCAGAGAGCATTGCTTTTGGCGAAAGAGGCTATCTCATCTTTCTGATCCAATGCCACTGCTTTATGTCGCCCATGTTCTGTTGAGATTACAAATATGCAAAGCACTCGCTCTGTGCGATACTGTAGCTTGTCAAATAGGCAGTCTAGATTCTTAATTTCGCTGGTACATCATAAAGCCAGCTTTGATTCAATTCCTAAATCATGAAAGTCACCCAAGTCCGGACCTTGCGAAAGCTCCCGCAAAGTCAAAGACTCAAGTCGATCCTTTCAGTTCAAAGATGGTTGACGTGCGGCTCTGTTTCTCAAGCACCTAGCCGACAGCAAATCACTCGGAGTAATAGGAATTTCCCAGCATTTCGATCATATTGAGTCCATCGCTTGGATGGTGGCTATCCACGCTGGATGTTGAGTGGAGTATGTTTGCGATGGATGGTGTATTATTGACTTGGATTGTTGTGGCTTGACTGAGTCTCAAAAGGAAAGTTTCTTGTGTTCCTGTGAACAAAGGAATACTAATAGGTTGACGGAAGAGGAGAGGCTTGGCTATCAGGTGTTGGCTTGTGAACTGAAGCCGACCTATGACTATCCGGTGTATCATGTGAAGCTTGCGTTTGAAGCGGAGGAAGTCAGTGGGTAGAACACAGACGGATAAGGCGGTGAAGGGACCACAATGGTCACAGGGGTCCCGTGTCTGCTATCTGCTCCCTTAGCCATTCCAACATATCTCAAATCAAGCCTTTGATAACTGCGAGGGAGTTTTAAATGAAATGAAGCATACCTATACTCTCTCAAATAAATTGCTCTTTGTTTCCAGATATCCTTTGCATGATCTCACACAACACGATCCAATGGCGTAGGTATCATAAATTTCTCTAGTTGCCTTCATGCAGACCCTGTAGAAACTTCCAGGCCACAGTCTGCATAACTTCATTGGTGCAGCATCAATGACCGTTTCCCTCTAGGTAGATTTCATATACAATCACAAAAGCAGCCTATCTTCGAAAATCGCACTTGCGCTGGCCATTCTATTGCACAAAGAAGGGAAGGAATCAACCAGAATGATACTTCTGGAATGGTCTTTGAGAGGCAACTTCAGCTACAGACAAGGCAACTTGGTAGTATTTGTATCGACCCATCGTCTCTGTCCGGCCGGCCGATGCGGTCGTTGTTCTCGATGAACCATTTACTTTTCCCCACCATCCGAAATTGGCGGGTCACCAAAGCTGCAACGCAAGATGGCGAAAAGACGTCACCACAAGAAGCCCGGCAAAAAGCCTTCATCGGTTAAGCAGAGGACCAGAGCCGGCAAGCAGGGACAGGCCAGAACCTTGAAGAAAGCTCAGTTGCAACCAGTGAGCCGATTCCTCCAGCTTCCCCAAGAGCTTCGAGATCATGTTTACGACTTAACTGGGTCCCTTCCCAGAGACAAGACAGTGGTGGCCAGTGGAAACATTACAATCACCGACCGTTATGTATCCGCGTACCGTCGTATACACATCGGCCGTCACTATCCGCTCACTACTCTGAAGCGTCCCTTGCTCCAGGTCTGCCGACAAATACAAACAGAAGCACTGGACTACATCGGTCGACACAATCGTTTCGTCATTGATGCTCCGATGCTGTCGCACAAGCCCACTGCCTGGAGATCGTCATTCCTCCACCCCATCTTGCGCTCAATTCGACTCCTCCGACTGAATGTCAAAGACCTTGCATTAGGTGACGACGGACCCAGCTTGATTGAGAACTTCTCTAAGCATGCAGTCAATCTTCGAACCTTGGATATCGCCTCATTTGGTCACCTTGGTACCATTCCAAGAGACTTGGCGCTCTCGAGGGTCCTGCAATTGGTTGCGGCAACTCCATCACTTGAAACAATCACCGTGGACGGCTCAGATATGGGCACAGAAAAGCTAGCAAGAGCATTCGAGAGGGAACTTTGGTTTCGAACGCATCTTTACGTGGAAAACATCGAGTTCAGCAGTTTTCCGAGGAAGAGTTCTGAGGACTTAATGCTACGGGAGACACTGGGCTATGTTTTCCTTGAGCTGTGGGGAGGTCAAATTGTTTTCCGGGAAGCGTACATTAGAGGACAACCCGGACGGAGGCCCGGTCCATACAACTATCTGTATGGTCATGGTAGCGCTCTCTGTCATACGAGGCAGTCCATGGATGAGATGCTAGCCGTTGCTAGGAACCTAGTGCGGGCCTTTGCTAGGAACCGGCGATAGGAGGCATGTACTTTTTAACGTAGTTGATAACAGTAGGCCTTTCTCAAGATCCCCTCATTGTGAAAAGTCAAATACTTGTATGTTCTATGGGTAACCACAACTGATGCTCTTGACTTCTGATGACCTATCTGTTCAATTTCCATTGCAGTGTCAAGGCCTCAAATTCTCCCTGAATCACACACGCCATACACATCAACACTGTACTGAGAATTTCACGGAATAAGTACGCTTCCAGACTCCGTTTCTTTCGGCATCCAACATGGAAACTTGATTACATGTAGTCATACCTAACGTACACCACCCCAGATCAACTGAAGAAGTTTCTTTTCTTCGACTTGCTCGCATGCTTCCTTCCTGCTGTCGTGTTCGGTTGAGCTGCGGGTGAAGCGGGGATTGGAGCAGCGGCCGGTGGTGCCATAGCCGGAGCCGACGGAGCAGCTGGCGCAGCGGGGGCGGGAGCGCCAGCAGGTGCAGACGGGGGAGTCATCGCAGATGGACCAGAAGGGCCCGGTGGCATCAACGGTAGTTGTAAAGGAGGAGCACTCAAGGACGCAATTCCCATTCCGATAGACCCGGCAGCTCCACCAAACGCCATCATGGCTCCTGATAGGCCCTCCGCGGGTAGTTTCGAAAGAACAACTTGGCCGAGAGCTCCCGAGAGCATGTTTTGATTCTTGAAAGACTGAATAAGTCCTGCTGTCGCTCCAGTCTGATCGAGCATCGTTCGCTGTAGCATCGTGGACATGACCATAATCTTCACACTCTTGGCCAGCGTCTCAGCCGTCTGCTGAAGGGCGATTCCATCGGTGATCGAGATCGGCTGCGTGGTGGAGATATCGGTGCGTGCTTGAGCCAGAGCATTTTCCACTCCCTGCATGGCCGGTCCGAGGGCTTGCGTGCTAACCGGATCACCCGATACACTCTGATACTTGTTAGTATGTATTCATGTTCAAAATATGGTCTTCGACACCTACCCTGACTGCGGCATCCAGATTCGACGCTGCTACAGAGATGAGCACGAACGAACTTTGGATGGTTCGAACGTCCTGTCCATTTTGAGCGACGGCTAACCCCAACTTGAGCATGAAAATGCTCCATGCGAGAATAGAAACCCTCATCCTCACTGCGATCGCTAACCAGAGCGAAGAAAAGCAGAATTAGACAGAGAAGACCGAAAAGCAAAAATCGAGAAAGAGAACCAAGATAATTATCAATTCAACTGCGAACCTTGCCCAACTCCCTGAATGTCAGGGTTAAGTTGAGGCTCATACAAGCTTATAATAAGAGCCCAGCAGATGTGACCCAATTTTTCCTCTGACCCGCATCCAAGTGACATTCTTGGAAGAGCTTGCTCCAGACGCCTCAGACCTTGGGACGCCGAAGCTTCCGTTGTCGGTGGCCATCGTGAAAGACAACGGATAAAGTCAGGGCCAAGATATTTGATCCAACAGCGCAAGGTAGTGGCATGCTCGGACCCGAATCCGACCTGGGGCCAACCCCATTGAGGGTGTTACGGAGCTCCGATGGGCGTCATAGATGAGATGAAACTGTTTCCCAAGGTGCCGTTCGCTTGGACACCTGCCACTTTTGGGAACTGACAGGAGACTTTTGTTAGTTTGCGGAGCCGGTCTGTGCCCTAGCAGTATCGTTCCAGTGGGATGGATTCATACACACAAAAGAGGTTAGGTGCCAGTTCATGCATTCCCAGAATCTTGGGTCGATCTCCTCGCATGGTGCATGTTTTTTCCGAACTTTTCATTCGTATGCAAGAAATGAGGCATTGTGCCGTGGTCTAGATCTGCCAGATGATGTCAGCGCCGTGAATTGCCCAATACCGGCAACATCCCGTCGTA